ACTTGGGTTCGCAATTTACTCCTCGAATTACAGCTTCCTCTTCGGCAAGCTTCCGTGGTTTATTGTGACAACGTGTCTGCCGTTTACTTATCTGATAATCCAGTTCAACATCAGCAAACCAAGCACATCGAGATTGACATTCATTTTGTTCGGGACAAAGTTCGAGTTGGACACATTCGCGTTCTTCACGTGCCTTCCTCTCTACAGTACGCTGACATTTTTACCAAGGGTCTCCCACGACAGTTGTTCGAGTCATTCCGATCCAGCTTGAGTGTTTGCTCTACTCCCGCTCAAACTGCGGGGGAGTCTTAGCTGGTTGATTATATTAGTTAGAGATAATTACGATTATATTAGTTAGAGATAATTACGGATTTGATTTATATTTATCATTAATTATAGCCGATAGGGTTTCTTTGTACATACCCTATATATAGGGATTTTCTGTTAATGATGAAGGTATCGAGTTTTGCAAACTTTCAATGTTAACCCCTGTGGCATGTCATGATGTGATGCGTGTTTTCTGTAAGGCATTATATGATCCTTTTGTTACCTTTTTAGTGCTTTACCATTTGGTTTTTAGTATGAGCTACTTGTATATGGTTCTAGACTAGAGCTATTTTCTTACGTCTTCCCCTATCCTTTTTGAACAAAAGATGAAGTTTTTCCTTTTTAGTAAGCCAAAATTCATCTAGTTGTTTGCATGTTTATTTTGACGCATCAACTGTGCAGGATAAATGTACTAGGTTCTTCTTGTCACCTGTTTATGTAGTTTGTATATCATGTTCAGTTTATGGTTTGAATGAAGTGTAAATTTGTTGGCTTTTTTATTTGACAGGGGAGAAGTATTTGCTTGCAAAGAAAATGAAGAGAATAAAGCTTATCAACCACCGATGGTTAGAAGATTGGTATGGTTCTTGTTTGCCTACCCTTTATGTGTTATAGACTAGCTCTTCAAGTGAACTTATTTTATCTTTTAACATAAGTGTTATTCGTTGTTCAGTCGTAGTTTAAGTTGCTAGATGGTCTAAAGTTTTCAACTTTGATTCCTCTCATCATTTTTCAGTTTAAAGGCCTGGGAGATTATCTCTGAAGCAGATTATTGTAAGAGGTGAGACTGTAAATTTGATCTTTGAGTTGTTGATTTATGAACCTGTCAAGTGCTCTCATTGCTGTCCCACATTGAGTTTTTCACTTTTCCGAAAGAAAGATACTCTCATTTTGTTATCAGAACTAAATCAGGACAAGGAAAGGGAAATTTTAATGTGTGATGGAGGGAGTTTCATCTGGCATTCTAATTTATATTTTGAACCGTCATGGTGTTGTGATTATCGGCTGGGCCGTTGATATGCTTTCTATATATTATATGATTTAAAAATTACCCACAAATTTGGCACTATTATAATGTCACATTACATACTTACATGACAATGAATGTATCGTACATACTCCATTCATCCTTCTAGTTTGTGATGCACTTAGAGTGGAATATAGCTATAGATTGCAGCTTATGTAAACAATATTGTTATCTTTTTCTTGTTATTTTATAAGTAACACTGTTGTTTCAGTGGTTATTCTTGGAGCTTATTATCTACTACCCTTCATGGCCATTCTTTTTTTTAGTCATATTTGTAATTGTTTCTAACCTGTTGAATGCTTGCTCTATTATGTGAATGTCATATGACACTTTCAATTTGTATTTGTATGCACATTACATCTTTATACCTATTCATCTAAAACCCCTTTCATTTAACAGTGGTTATGAGTTGGAGATGGAGGCAGAAGCCAAAGATTCTGAAGAGGAAGCAGAAGGCTTTGCTACAAGGCACCATGAGGGGAAAATGGCAAGTCCCCATCATTCTCTGATGTTAAAGCAGGAAGTAACAAGAAGCCAATCAAATACTAGCGCGTCTAAAAGGCTTGGTAATGCTGCAGACATGGTGTCAATGACTATGAAAAGCACATCTGATCAATTCCCTAATGCCCGTGAGATAAAAAGTAACCATCCGCTTGTGCTTGGGTTCTCTAACACTGAGAATGTGATTGGTGTTACTGGTGAGCCATCTAAAGTATTCGAAGGAACTGCCAGCGGTTCAGCAGCACAAAACGAAACAGATGCTGCTTCCATAGCAGCCAACAAATCTCCTTTGGATGAAGCAGGAAAGGTAATATCTGCAAGTTATTCTAGGAAAGTGCCGAGGATGACCTCAGCAGAAATAGACATAACAAGCAATAAGGGCAGTGCTAAAAAACTGGGTAAGCTTAATCTCAGTGAAGCCTTCAATACATCTTCCTCTTTGGTAGAAAAAGTGAATGATGGGAGTGAGACTGTTTTGGCTGGTATCAGGACTCCTTCCAATGGTCCTGCTGTATGCCTGGGAGGGGAGCAATATGGTTCATCCACTGGTAAGAGGAAGATGGATGTTGCTTGTGGTAGTTCCAAACTACAAAGGATGAGTCAGAATGATGGCACACCGAATAGAGAAAGTACACATGTGGATAGTGCATTTCAAGAGTTGAAAAAACATTCCCAAGCTGAAATGAGTAACCATTTGTCATCCGAGGCTGATATCCCTTATTTGAATGATAGAGCTGCTGCCAGTCCTGCAGGGATCCCACCCTCGAACATTACCGGAAGGAAGTCCTCAAGTTCTAAGGGTAAAAGTGTAACATGTGATGTTCCTATCTACAAAACGTCTGCGCCTGAGCTTGGGCAAGGTGAAAATTTAGATGAAGTGCGAAGACCACTAAAAGAATCTAGTGAACCCAGCTCAGTAACAAAGTTTAACGACCGAGATGCTGATATGGTACGACTTGAATGTGCAATGCCTGGAGCTCAAAAGCTAGAACATGTGATGCAACGCCTTGAGGAATCATCTCCTTCTGCAGTAAGGTCTGATCTCGAGAAATCTAGTACTCCGTACTTGGAGATCAATGAACTTGGTGCTGGATCAAATTCGAAACCAGTCAAAAGGAAGTCAGTTGGCAAGAAACTTTCTGCTCCTAATCAGAATCCAGGTACAAAGAAGACCGTGAATCAGAAAGGCTCTATTTATTTGAAAAACAGCGAGCCAAAGAATAATGCAAAGACCTCTACCGTAGGTGTTCAGGGACTAGCTGATAATGAGAATCTCCTTAAGTATCAGATGTTTGAGAGAGCTCCTCTAGCAGCCAAATCAGGCCCAGAGATGGGGATGAATGGTGACTTGCAAATCCAGAACATGTCTGGGAACAAGTCCTCATACATAGACGATGAAACCGAGCCGCCAGAGGATAAAGAGGAGGCAGGCAAAGAGAAGCACGAAGGTGTTGAACCAGAAAAAACTGTTGATATAGATGAAAAAGCAAAAGAGGATCTGCATGATATAGATGAAAATAACGACAAAGATGCAGACACAACTGATTGTGAGAACGTAATGCCCATCAGGGACAAAGTTTTGGTGGAAAAATCTGATGATACCAAGAATCCTGTGAACGATAAGACATCTAAAGGGAGGAAGCTACCCCTGACTAAAAAAGCTAAGAAAAGAACTGCTCTGTCAGTGAAAGAGGTAACTGATAGGAAGGCTGCAAAAAAGAAGGAACTTGCAAGTGACAATGATAATGAGAAGGCAAAAGTTAGAGAAGAAGCGACTCCACTTCGAACTGTGAAAACCAAGAGAAAGGTAAATGACTTGGAGAACTTTGTGGAAGTGGAGAGAGCCGAAGGTGGTCTTAATGATCCTGAGCACATGAGTGAAGAAAAGCATGACAATGGAACTGAACATGCGAATTCACCATCCAACATGGATGATGTTCAGGCAGGGAAGCATGCTGATACAGAGAATGTTGTGAACAAGAAGGCAGCTAAAAAAAATAAATGTCCTCCAAGTAAAACTAGGAAAGATGTGGCTCTTTCTGTCAAAGAGGTAACTGATTCAAAAGCTGTTAGCAAGAAGGGAAAACCAACTTCAAGTCGGACAGTTAAAACGTGTGATATGGAAGCACAAAAGGAGAATAGGCTAATTCCTGTTGATCAAAGTACTTGTATCAGTAACAGACAAGTTCTTAAATCTGCTACAGAACTCCCTGAGAAGATTAACCCCAAGCCTGATCAGGCGAAGTCAGATCCTATGGCAGGGAGCCTGTCAAGAGCTGAACCTATGTGGTTCATATTGAGTGGACATAAGTTGCAAAGAAGGGAGTTTCAGCAGATCATTCGACGATTGAAAGGAAGAGTATGCAGAGTTTCTCACCAATGGTCTTATCAGGCAACTCATTTCATTGTCCCTGATCCGATGCGCAGAACAGAGAAGTTCTTTGCTGCTGCCGCATCTGGAAGGTAAAGGTCTCTTGAGTTTGACTTTTTTTTATAAACAGTTGCTTCAAAATAAAGATGGGAAGTTTAGCTACATGTGTGTTTTACTTTTAAAAACTGTTGCCATTTAGACATTTCATGTAAGTCCTGAGGTCCAGCTTGTTTCATATTGAGATTATGTTTGTTGGTACAAAATGAACTTAAATAGCTGAATTCGGAAGTTCGAATTTCCTGAACTTTGATGTCCCTACTAAATGCAGGTGGATTCTGAAGACAGATTACTTATCAGCAAGTAACGAGGCAGGAAAATTCTTAGCAGAGGAGCCATACGAATGGCACAGGAATGGCCTAAGCGAAGATGGTCAAATTAACTTGGAGGCTCCCAGGAAGTGGAGGCTTTTGAAGGAAAAAACCGGCCATGGTGCCTTCTATGGAATGCGTATCATCATATATGGGGAATGCATTTCCCCTCCTTTGGTATATTCTCCATCTAACTTCATATCTCCTATGATCTTTGTTATGTTTAATACTCTGACATTATGCATAACAACCAAACCATTAGTCGATTGTCTTTCATTTCTGTTTCGGTTTTATGATTTAGGACACCCTTAAGCGTGCGGTGAAGGCTGGAGATGGGACCATATTGGCAACTTCCCCACCATACACCCGCTTCTTAAACAGTGGTATCGACTTTGCCATTGTTAGTCCGGGAATGCCACATGTTGATATATGGGTTCAAGAATTCTTGAGACATGAGATACCATGCATCTCGGCTGATTACTTGGTGGAATATGTATGCAAACCTGGATTTCCCCTGGAAAGACATGTCCAATATGATACAGATGCTTGGGCTGAGAGATCGTATAACAATCTAAAGAATCGGTTAAGAGAAGAAATGAATGAAGCTAGAACTCCGGAAAGCAACGATGTGGCATGCGAGGTGTGTGGATTGCGTGATAGAGGTGAAGAAATGCTGATATGTGGAAACGAGAGTGGTTCGAGTGGATGTGGGGGTGGCACCCATATTGACTGCTGTGATCCACCACTGGAAGATGTTCCTGAGGAGGATTGGTTTTGTCCAAGGTGTAGGAAGAGCAGTACAAGTAATAAAAAGAAGAGTAGCAAAAGGAAAGGTAAGTGAGGCATCCTGACCTTCAGACCTTCCTCTGTTGATGACATACACTTCCAGTTCCTTGTCCATCTAGACAGAATAGGATAAGGCAAAACAAGTCAGCAATGTTTGGTTAGATGTAATTAGACATAACAAAATAAGATTAAATGATCAAGAAGTTGTTTATATATTTTGTTCAAATTGAAATCTATTAATTAACATATCATATTGTAAATTAGTGAATTGTTTTAAATATATACTATAAAATTTATTAATTTTTAAACATGTTTTTTTTGGTCGTTCTTAACTAGCTTATTAGTTGGTTTTTGCTGAACGTATTTAGTTTATTAGCTACCAGCTTATAAGTAATCAGTTAGTTTGTCTAAGTCTGTTTCACCTTTTTTCATAGGGTGGAGGTGGAAGTCTTCTGTATTGATTTGTTCTATTATGTTTTTGTTTATTTCACATAAAAGTTACTTTAAACGTGAAACAATGATCTTTATTTTTATTTTGTCTTATCATGCCTAGTCTATCAAACACACCTTTGATTGATTTTTACTAGTATGGGTTGGTTTGGAGCGGTTACAAATCGGGTAGCTATTTCTTAAAAATATTTGTATATATGATAAAATAGCATATATACAAGCAATTACAAGATAAAAATATCCTTACCATATATATATATATGTAAGGAGACGTAGTGATGTAACCGAGTCAAAGGCCGTGTAATATCATATATACAACCAATTACAAGATATAAAAAGTAAAGGCTTTTTTTTTTCCCCTTCTTCTAATGATGGATATGGGTTTTAATGAAGAGTTAGGTAAGTTAAAGTGTTTATTGGTATGATGAAAAAAAGGAAAAGATGTGGGAGGATAAGGCATCGGCATCGGCATTGGCATTGGCATTGGCGAATAGCGATGGTGTGTTTTAGTAATTAAATAATAAGATGTAGGTTTATAATAATAATAATTAAAAATGATGATTGGATCACATGGGTAGACCTGACATCATCATATGTGGCCACGACTTGTACCCTTTCCGATGTTCCCAACACTCAAACATCACGTGCTTATTACACTTTTAACCCCTCCACTTCTCTCAATCATCATAACTCAACCCCCAGAACCAACCACTTTTGTTTTTTTAATACTCTCTAAAACAAAAGTTTTTAATTGGGTCATAAAAAATGGCAATTCAATGGTTGATTGAAGAAAAGAAAGTGGATAGATAGCAAGGCACGTGACCCAAATTCCCTTTTCTTCTGTCACAAGCAATATTATAATTAAAATGCCTTTTCTTTATTCTTCTATTTATAATAATTTCACTCGCTCTACAACAATTATTTTTACATTTATATATATATATATATATATATATATATATATGCAAAGGGTGAGATGGCAAAGCAGTTTGCATGTTCCCCCACACACCTCTTTTTATACCCATTATTTCTTGTTAAAAATAAGTTGGGGTTTTTTGTTTTGAAAAAATCAATGGGGATTGTTGTGAAATGGTAGTCGCAATTTAAATTTAAATTTAGAACATGATCAAAAGATAATAATTATTATGTTTTGGAATTTAGAACCTTCATATTTCCAAATTTGTCAAAGTCAACAGACGGATTTAAATGCATATGTTGTTGGAGTTTCGTATGAATTAGTGACAACTTCATTCTTGTATTTTTGGTTATCAAAAATAGAAACCCCGAATTTGTATTAAATAAAGAAAGAGTAAGTAAAGGAGAAAGGCTAAAAATGAAGTTTAGTCAAACAAGTTTTGGTATCGTATGTTTTCAATTACAATTCCTGAAGATAAAAATTGTTTAAAAAGAGAACATGAAGCAATGAATAAAATAGAGCAAGTGTAGGGGATTGGGTTTGAAAAGGGAGGGAAACATGAAAACTTTAGGGAAGGAATCCAATGTTACATTCATATCATATTCTACTTCACCCATTCTTCAAAACACACCTCAAATACATCGTCTTTATATTACATTTTCAAACTCATTCTACTATACTATTATTATTTATTTATTATTATGAAAAATAAAAATAAATCAATTGACATAAATACATTACTATTTGTTGTATTTATTTGCATTTGTAAATGAGATAGATATAATAATGTATACCCATACTACTTTACTTATAAAGTAATTTGAGAGTGACAAGTCAAACCCAAATAATTGTTACATTACTTTTGTTGTATATTAATACTATCATGTTTATGATATCAAGTACCACTCCTAAAGTTCGTTCTATAATAGTACTTCAACTCTAACCCAACTTTAACTTTGTTTTTGTTTAAACTTTAACATATCATAAATCATCACCTTCAATCTACAAATCATGAATCAACACGTCTCGGTAATTTCATGTTTCCAAAATAAGAATGAAAACAAAGTGGTTTATGCAAAACTCAAATGATTTTGGTCACAGAAAGTGAAGTGACCACCGGTATGTATGCGGATATACCAAATTGAATTGTATAAGAATGTCTCTTCTTTAATGGTATATAAGATTTCATTTCTATGTATTTATGGCATACATGATTCGATTCAATCTTTTTATTCAAGACAAAAAACAAGAAAGGAGTTTTTAATGTTTGGTCATATTAATTTCATCTATGACTGACAATAACAATAACAATGGCATTAGCCTTAGCATGGGTATGTGAATAAAGCCTGAGAAAAATAAAATAAAATAAAATAAAAAAGACCGACTGACTGACTCAAACAAAGAAGAAAAACCAAATGCTTTTGCATTCAATTTCACCAACCAACCACCCATCCACATTGCCCTCCTAATTTAATTTCAAGCATCAAAACCACACACCCCCATCCACTATCACATTGCTTCCTAATTTAATTTCAAACATCAAAACTACACACACCCATTGCATGCACATCCACATCCACATCCACATCCACATCCACATCCACATCCACATCCACATCCACATCCACATCCACATCCACATCTACATACACCTTTAATATTAATAATATACATATCATCTTTTTTACCTTCAAATTTAATCATAGAAAGATTAGATAGATATAGATCATCAAATGCACATGTACCAAAACCAAAAAGCTAACACCATCACCAGTACTACTGTAATAGTAGTAGCAGTAAAAAGGAAAGCAGAAAGAGACAACAGGTGACAAAAATTTCCAGGCTTTTTTGGCTTCTTTTCTTTGTAAATTACCCCCCCCCCCTCCTTTTGTACAAAAATCACTTCCATTCCACGTTTATTTATCATTTTTTTATCATATTCTTTCACTGCTGCTTCCCCGTCACCATTTTTTACATCGTAATCATCCTAACAGCTCAAACCTTCATACTTGACCGGGATCGGACGGTTAAACCCCGCCTGCGACAACAAATTCCCCACCACCGCAAGGTCTCTACAGAACACCCCTTGATACACCGGTGCCGGTTTTTTGTTTTCACAATTCTGGTTCTGTTCTTCAATGCCTAGTGTCATTTTTACTCTTGTGGCTTCTTGATTATCATGTTGCAATGCCTTCTTCCTCTCTTTTTCAGCAACCTCTTCCTCTATAATTGTCCCCATTACGTTCGTATACCCTCTTTGAATCAATCGGTATAACAATAAAGCAGACATCTTTGCTCGATCTCGGATCGAATCCATATCAAGTTCGTCCGCAAACTCACACCTATCAATAAAACTAGTGGATTTATCGGGTTTGTGACGCAATGTAAGCAACAAATGGGCTCTTTCCAATTCGGATCTTGAACAACCCCGTCTCAACCCGATTAAAGAATGGTAATCTACATTCCCTGTTTCCCCTGAAGCAACCCTCTGCTTCAGTTCTTGACTCTTAGACCCTAAAGAACAAAGCTTTCCCGGAATTTCACGGTATCGAACGTTTTGCCGTTTCCATGCCGGTCCCGGTAGCTTCCGATCACGGAGTATGGAATTGTATAATAGTTTCAAGTGCTCAAGATCGTGAAGTGAATCTGGGAGGCAACGAATGGTTTCAAAAAGTGAAGCTCTGGTGCTTAGGGCTTCAATACAAGATGGATCTAATGCTAAGGTCCGATTACAGTCCGCTATGGCCTCTGCGATCCGACCAGAGGATTGGTAAGCGGAGGCACGGTGCATGTAGCACTCGGCAAGGAAACCCTGAGGAGCTCCGCGCCTACCGTCTACGATTTTGGAGAAATGCCTGATGGCTTCGCTGTATAGGCCGGCTTCTAGGGCGGCGATTGCGGCGGTTTTGCGACGAACGAGGAGCTTGATGTGACCGAGGAGGTGACCGATGCTCTCGGACTCTGTCCTTGGAGGCGTCTGTGGCTGGTTGCCGTCGGTGAAGATCTCAGCGGAGAAAGAAAAGCTGTCATCTGACCAGCAGATGCTTTCACGGCGGAATGCGGCGGAAGCAAGGCGCTTTCCGGTCTGAAGAAGGGCCATGGCGTCCTCCATCAGACCTAGGTGGCAACATGCTTGACCTAGAACCAAATACCTGAAAACGGAAACGGAAAAGGAAAAATCACCGAGTTACAAGTCGCTACCGAAAACCGATTTTAACTACTAGTATAATATAAACAAAGAGATTTGACTTTTTGTGTGTTAAAAAAATAAAAATTGCTTGAAAGTTCAATAATTGTGGGTGGAGGTTTAGCGTAATCTAGAAGCTAATTAATGGATCATTGAAATCCGTCAAAAGAAAATTGAATGCAAACAGATATGGCATTGAAATTATACCTCCATTGACCTTCTTTATCGCAATTTTTACCGAGGCCGGCCCTGACCTTCTTCTTCAAATCGGAGACGGAGAAACACTTGAAGGAAGGTTCATCATGGTTAGGGGAGGACAAAAGCTTAACTCGTTCTCTGGACAAGGGTTGGGAGTTATTGTCTGATGAAAGCGATGAGGACGAAGATGAAGTAGAGGAATCATCGGAAGACATTTTAAGGCTAGGGATGTAATCCTGAAGCATATCAGCGACTTGTTTGTATCTTCTGAGATAGAGAAGAGATCTGGCTTTCAATTCGAGAGCCGGTTCAAACCTTGGGGATAAAGCAAGAGCGGCATCAAGCAGATTGAGAGCTGATGCGATATCGGAGTGTTCCTGAGATGCAATCAGAGTTCTAGCATCTTTCACATACTTATCAACGATCTGCACAGAAAAAGGAAGATTAATAAGTCAAATTTAAGAAGAAGAAAAAGTAAGAATGGATGAGAATGAATATACCTTCTTATTGGTGAGCCACCAATGCTTCTTTTCAAGAGAAGCATGGGAAGGGGATGCAGGCATTGTTGATGATAAGCAGTGATCCACCATGGATGAAGGAAGAGAGATCTCACATAGGAAGGAAGGAAGGAAGGAAGACAGAAGAAATGGGGTGGGTGGGGTGGGGGTTTTAAATGTAAGAGAGGGGGGGTTTGTGTGTAAATCAAGTGCCAGCTGTGAAAGCTTTGATCCTTCCTTCCATCATATCATATTATCATATCATGGCACTGGCTTGGCTTGGCTTTGGCTTTGGCTTTGGCTGGGCTGGGCTGGGCTGGCACCACACCACACATTCTCTCTCCTCTTTCTTTTTTTTTCTGCATTTTACTTTAAAAAACACATTACATTACAATAATTTGGTTTCTAGGCATACATATGATGATGATGATATGTCTTACAAATTATTTTTATAAATATATACTGTCCAAGTGAATAATTAAAAAAATATTTCTCAGTTTTTATTTTGTTTTTCTCTAAATTTAAATATTTTACAATAACTTTTATACTTATTTTCAAATATAAACTCATCAATTTCAGTATATTTGTATTCTTCTTTTCAATCAATTCTTAATTTTTATTATTGATTGATAGCCTCAAAGTTGACAAAGCATTCCATAAAATATGAGTTTACGACCGGTGGAGCAGGTAAGTCCACTGGGGGTTAACCGCTGATAGCCGGTATCATGTCACGGGCCGTCTCCTTATTTTACTGGGTTGGACTTAATAAGACTCCACCAAAATTGCTCCCACGAAACGCAAAGCCAAAGATTTACTCTTTTACCCTCCCTTTAATTTATATTTAGAAAGTTAGAACATTAATTAAAAATGTGGCACAACTGTTTAACATATGACATAAAATTTTGTTATAAAATATAACTTATTAATGTTTGACCAAAACTAATAAACTATGATTGAACACGTTTTGAGATACATTATATATATATATATATATATATTAAAAGTGTACTCGTGCAATGTAGCAAGATATATATCTTGATTATAATGTTTTGGTTTATTTTTTATCGATGTTATAATATAGTTTTATGTGGTTTTGAGAAATCAATAATGTTTTTATTTTTGAATAAAATATAAATTTAAAAAATATCATAAAAGTTTGAAAAATAATATAAAAGTTCTAGTTTTTTTGTATGATTTCTTTAATTCAATTATTTATTATAATTTAATTTAGATTTAATAACGAAGTAATTTATTTTCTATTTAATAATTAATTTTTTTAAAGATAATAATTACCTATCATCTTAATTATATTTTTTATATTTAAAATAAGAAGTTTATCTTGTATTTGATTATGTTTATCTGCAGTTAGTTACACGAATTTAAACATGAAAATTTAATAAGTTGTACTTATGCACAATTTACTTATAATCTTAAATTTTAAGTAATATGCATCAATAAGCAATACATCATGCGTAAAAAAATGGTTTTTTTTTTGTCAAATACTTTATAATATAATATAGATATTCAAATTAAATGTTACAAAATTATTGTAATATAAATTGCTTAATTTAAAATAATATTATAATTTAAATTTGAAAGTAAAGGTGTATTTCATTTTAGTTTTAATTATAAAATATTTGTATCTGTGTCCGTTAGTAGTTAATTTTATAACTCAAATATTATTCCAAAATTTATTGTAACTTAAAATGTAAGGGATTGTTGAGTGATTTCAAATACTTATTTTTTAAAAACTTTTCATATATGGATATGGGAAATGGATAATTGTGAGATGAGGTTTCCAAAACTCTCAAATATTTCATTATTTATTTGGTTAATTGGTCTTATAGTAGTGGAGATTTTCCAAAAAAACATTAGGAAATTTTTAAAAATTGCATTCCTTTTTGTATGTGTTAATAATTTATTGACAAAAACTCTAAAAAACTATTTTTTTTATACATTAAGTATTGTTTATTAATGCATATTACTTAAAATTCAATATTACAAGTAAATTGTCCGTATGTACAATTTATTAAAGTTCTATCATCCATGTCTGAATTCGTGTAACTAACTGCATATAAACATAATCAAATACTGGATAGGTATCTCATCTTAAATATAAAAAATCTAAAATATATTTAGGATAATTATTGAATTCTAACAAAATACTAAATATTATCTCTATATAATAATTATATTATTAAACCAAAAATAAATGACTTCTTTAGCAAATCTAAATTAAATTATAATAAAAAATAGAATTAACGAAATTACACAAAAAACAAGAACTTTTAGATATTCAATTTGATACTAAAATCGATACTTTTTTCTTTCAAAAATTTATGATACATTCAAATTTATATTTTATTCAAAAAAATAAAAACAATATTGTTTTTTGATACCATATAAAATCGTATTATAACATGGACGAAGACAGAATAAAGTGAAACATTAAAATCGAGATACAGCTTGCTGCATTGCTCGAGTCCTTTTTAATACTTAATAAATAAAATACTCATATGTGAATCTACCTAGAAAAAATTCATATGAAAATTCACATATAAATAAGCATGTTGAACTCATGCGTTTTTACCAATGATTCGCATACAATAATATTTAGATTTACGTTCTTAATATATATATATATATATATATATAAATGGGAAGGATTCAAACGATAACATTTTCATTTTACTAAGATACAAAAACACCATTTTACTATAATCACATGTGATAGTGTAGTCAATCACATGTTAATAATGAATCAAGCGCGAAAGATCTTTGGTACGACCTCAGGTGGCGGCTCGAGTCGCCCTCACACCAACAAAATATTTATCACATGGGATTTGATATAATAAAAGAGTGTTTTTATATTTTCGTAAAATGAAAATGATCTCTTTTAAACCTCCACCGTATATTTTTGTCATATTCAGTGATTCACCGACATTAGCTCTGTGTGTATATATATATATATATAATATGAATCGTTGAATATCTAAATTGTTAAATTAGTACCATTTTTACTTCCATATATGTTGGAACCTTGTTCTTGCGGGTTTTTAAAAGTAATATGAGGTATATATATATATATATATATATATATATATTCTTATATTAATTATAAATAAATAAAAAGGGATACAGCATCCCTCATTTATTTGATGAAAAAACTTTTTTCCCCAAAATAAAACGTCAAATGTTGATTAAAATATATTCAAACTACATATTAAAAGATTATTGACTCTATATCACATAAATGCATACATTTATAAAATATAATATATTACAGAAAATTTATTAAAATAATCAATTTTTTCAACCAAATTTATTGCCTAGTCATTGTTTGCATTGAATTTCCATTTTATCTAAATTTTATGTAAACGTCTTTCTACATATGCGTAAAGCCTAGTTTCATATTTTAAAAAATGTTTACGTAAATGGAGAAAAATTCTTTATGCAAATGGAGATCGTTATGCAAATTATAAAAAATTAACGTAAAGTTTTTTTAATCTAAAAACAGGTTTTATGCAAATGCATAAGACATTTATTTAAACTTTGGCTCAAATGAGAATTTTATTAAATTTTTTTGGAAAAAGATGAATTTGGTTGGAGAGATCGGTTATTTTGGTCAACTTTCCAATAAACTACATGAGCAATCGTTCGGCTGTGGCTTATTCGATCAGCCCATGACTTAATTGTTCAGCTGGAACCCATACTCCTTTAGACTCGGCCATTTCAATTTCCATCAATTCCCCAACTACCCTTCAACCTCCCATCTTCAACCCAGGAGACATATGCTTCCATCTTCAATTCATTCCTTCCATCTTTATTCTTTCATCTACATCCATCTTCAACTTAGGAGACGATCTGCACTCCTTCAACCTTTGTGTCCATCTTTTACGAAACTGATATTGAAATGATCTCTCAGTTTAAGTAGAATCTCTCAATCTGCACTCTTTGCTTTCTGTCTCCATTTGGTGCTGTTGGTTATGACTTTTCCTTCATCTGTCGATGTAAATTTTGATGAAACTGTGCAGTATTTCTCATAAAGTATTTCCAGGATAAGTATGTAGGTGTATTCATGAAATTGTGCAATAGAAACACATGGGAACATATGTTAAGCATAAAGTAGTGTGAGTTCCCCTCTTCCTCTTGTTTTTCTTTTGATGAAATTGTGCAATATATAGAACACACAGGGTTAAGCATATTTCCATGAGCATGCATCTGGATTTTAATGTACATTTTGATGGGTTCTTATCGGGACACATGTTAATGTTAAGCAGGAGGGTTGGTTAGGATACAAGATGTTTGATGAAATGTTGTAGAGAGATGTGGTTTCTATTTAGAAAATGCTTAAATTGATATTCAACAAAAACATGGATCGGAGGTAAAATGGTCATTTATGACTTTCAGACTGTTTATTCAGCACAACAATCGAACAACAACTTACTCGTTATCATACAAACAACTTTATCCGCATAGGTCTTAATAGAAAATAAACCGAACAACCCTTAAGTGTGATAGTCACCCTTTTTGTTTTGTTGCATTTGCATTTTGAATAACTAGAAGTGTACCTGCAGAATTGATCTCTATTTCGTCACTGATGATTACATTTTATTAATTTGTAAGGTTTGCGAGAACAATAGAGTATTGTTCTGGTGGTTTTAAGTTGTATGTAGTATTTTCTCGTATAAGTAGGACATTATGATTATTTTGTATTTAAACGTGTTTATCAGTTGAACATGCATTAGATTTATGAAGCTCTACATTAGTAATAATAAATTGAAAATGTTATATAATATAGCAACAATAACATATAAATATATTCATAATTGAAATTTTAAAAAACTGAGTTAAAAGAATTGAAACACACACACACACACACATATAAATCATTTAGACCAATCATAAATCTTGGTTAAATTAGCTTCTTTTTATCACCATACAGTTAATATTGAGGGTTGTCTTAACTTCACATTTATTAATGAGCAGTTACAAAAACATCAATCCCATAATTATAGCTAAAATAATATGTTTTTTTTCTTCTTCTTCTTCCAAATTATAGATGATTGTGTTTACATGTGAAAGGTAATTAGTTTAGTGTTCATAATTTTAAATAAGTGTTGATATGTGAAAGACACGAAGTAAGATTAGTTAAAAATATGTTCATAAAATGTGGATATGGTTTAAAAACTTAAATTTTCTTAGACTTTGAATGTTGGGTAAATTAGAGACTTATAAGTATGTATGTATGTGTTTGGAAGAAGGTATTAAAATGAGAAGTTGTTGGATATGGTTTTTGTGATGATGAAATGGATGTTTGAAGTAGGTAGGTCAAATGAGAATTCATATGCATATGCATATGCATATGATGGAATTGAAACAAGAGAAATTAAAAGCCACAGGAATCATGCTTTTTTCAGATGCCAAGTATTCATTTCTTTAAGCTTTTTTTTTTTTCCACTTGACAATTAATTAATTAATCAATTACAAAGGAATTCAATTGATGCATCACTTACCCTCTCATGACTAAAAACTAAAGCTTTTTTTAAAGAGGTTTGTTATGAAGCTACCCAACATGTATATATATAAAGATGTTGATTAATAAAATTCTATATTTATGATTTATGATTTATGATTTATGATTTATTATTGGTGTTTGTTAGATAGGAGAAATAAAGAGAAGTAAAATGAAGGGAGGTAGTGCCTAGTGCCTAGTGCTAGGTAGGATTGATGTAATGTGCCACATCAGTTAATGCACTCCAACCTGTGACCATGTGGAACCATCCCTATCCCCCTCTCACCCTCACCCTCACCCTCACCCTCACCCTCTATATAAACATTACATAAAGACGAGTGGACCATTTCTACCCCACTTCATTTCTGTCATGCTGCTTCCATTTGCCATTTGCAATTCTTAATTCTTAATTCCTAATTCCTCTGTTTATGGCCTAAATTTATTTAATTAAAAACACTCACAACCATCTTCTTCATTATCATTTCTCTTTCTTCATTTTAATTATCATCATCTTTTAATTATTATCATAGGTAGCTACAAGGGAATTGAATCAAGGGAGAGACCATGCAAATGCAATTAAGGCAATGGGACCACAGCCACCCAGCCATCCAGCCAGAGGTAGAGAGAGAGAGAGATGGGACACCAGGGAGGTCTAAAACCTTGTACCTAGCCAAACTAGGTGGCATCTATATATGATGCCAGCTAATTCTAACCCCTAACCTTGTGGAACCTACACTCCACTATAAACAAATTTACCTTTTCTCTCTCCCTCTCCCTCTCCCTCTCCCTCTATACATATATAATCACATATATCCAATAACAATCATCTTTTGCAAAATAACATCATGATGTTTGTCTTATAATCAACAAAGCCTTATGGAGAGAAATAGAAGAGCAGATGCAAAAAGGACAATAAGTTGGGTAAGTGAATGATTAATTAAGGAATGATTGACATATGGAAAACATTTGAAAAATGAAAGGTGGTAAGCTTATAGCACAAGATATGCACATGGAATGTTGTGTTTTGGCTTCTTTTTCACATGATGTTATTGTTAACAACTATAATGCACAAGGTATGCATATGCATGTTTTAATTAGATATAGATATATATACATATGTGATAGGATTCCTTAATTTTGTATTGTGTAAATAAATATAAGACATGGATGGAATGGTTTAGTTTTAGATGAGAATATATTATATATTACGTAAAGTGGAGATAATGGATGGAGCTTGAGTTTGAAGGCAAGCATAAGCATATGCATATGCGAATGCAGATGCATTCATATGTTGTATTATAATAATAAAAATGTATGGGGATGGGGATGGGGAATCCGATGCAAAACTTATGTAAAATACTTGGATTAGATTTTTATATATTAATGATGAATGAAACTTAAAGTGGCAAGAAAAGAAAAAAAGAAGAATGAGGTGGAGTGGGCATGTGATGGCACAGGCTTTATAACAAGATCCTTGTTAAAAGGGATTCAAAAACATGGATGGCAACTCCCTTTCTCTTTCTCATTCTCATTCTCAACTAACAATCATTTCATTACAATATTAATTCATTCATTACTCTTTCTTCTTCTTCTTCTTTATTATTATTATTATTATTATTATTATTTAAAAATTATTATTTATTATCTCTACTTATTATTAGTTATTCTCTACTTCATTGGTTGTTTTCCATATATATATATGACTAAACACAAAAAACAGTTAATTAAAAGAAAAGAAAGATAAAAAATGAATGTAGTAGTAAAATGGAATGGATGGGTAAACTAAAAGCAATGTGTATGTCTGAAAAAGTGCCTTTGCTACTACCCTTACCCTCCATGTCCATGTGTTTCATCATAACCAAACCATTAACATCAATTTCTTTTTTGTAAATCACACCACTAATTTACAACTTACAACCAATCTATCTCTTCACTTTATGATTTACAAGTGCAAAACATCACATCCACATATCATAGATTTATGATGATAAATCCATGACCTCATCTTAATTATCCACCAGGCCCAAATAATATTAAACGAGCCCAAATAAAAATAAATGGGCCCAAACAAGTGTTGTGTAGTGTAGAAATGAAATAAGCGGCCCACATCTTTTCTTGACTCGTCTTTCTCACTCTCACACACACACACACACACACACACACACACACACACACACACACACACACACACACACTCACCAATTTATGTGCGGGAACGGGAAATAAGCCTGCCGAAGCACGTGAAGCATGGAAATTTGTCGCATTCATTAGCCAAAGCCATCCACTTCAACTCTTGTGTCTTCTCCTAGGGCCAGGGACAGTCAGAGAAAAAGCCCAGATCCCATCCATCTACTACACATACACAATATCACTACCAATTTCTGCCACTCCAGATCTCCTCTCCACTCAACCATGTTTCTCTTTGATTGGTTCTATGGCATCTTGGCCTCCCTCGGTTTATGGCAGAAAGAAGCCAAGATCTTGTTCCTTGGCCTCGATAATGCCGGTAAAACTACCTTGCTTCACATGCTCAAAGACGAGGTCTCTTTCTTTTTTTAACGCTTCCATGTTTCTCCTTTTTTATTTCATCTCCATCTCAATTTTCACTCTTTTCTGTTGATTTCATTTAACCCTTCAGAGATTAGTTCAACATCAACCGACGCAACATCCCACCTCTGAAGAATTGAGTATAGGCAAAATCAAGTTCAAAGCCTTCGATTTAGGTGGTCATCAGATCGCTCGTAGAGTCTGGAAGGATTATTACGCCAAGGTATGTGCTATCTGCATCTTCCTCTTACGTAATCACCACATCTGTAAAATTCTTTTTTTCTTTTCATATGCGTCTCTGTCTTCCAAATGCTCCCATCTTAAGATGCAAACTGCAATCTGTATTTGCTCTGAAAGATGTTTACTTATAATCCCCTACTTTTCTACTATATGTAATTGGCAATGTTATTATTGGATAAAATTTTATTTCTGTTTTCTGCCACTCCGCCGATGATCCTCAATGTGTGTATATAGATCCAGGGGGAAAAAAGTCTACCAATAATATGGGCAGAATTATGCCACAGTAGTTACGAAATTAGCTTCTTCTTATGCCAAACTAAAGTAGTTAGTCTGAGATATTAATTGAATTTTGCTGGATTCCTTCTGTCAGTGCATGGTATCAGGTTTTTTTCTGCTTCTTTATCTGCATTTGGTGAAAGTTTTGGCAAAGTAGATGATATTGATTTGCATCTGCTCACAAGTTTGATGGCTTTAGAAAGTACATCTCTGTTATATATAATGGTATTCTGTAGTACATGGTGTTGGGGAATTTTCTAGGGGAAGGCTGGCAACAACAGCAATGGCAGAACACAGAACATGTATACAGGACAACACCAAAAACTGTCCTTTAGGTTTCAATGGTTCCCACCGTAAGATGGTTTGCTAGGGGTTACTTTGAGCCTGAGGGTTGAAATGATCCATCAACAAAACAGAAAGCAATGCAATTTGATACAAGCAGCATTATCAAAACTTATAACATGATTTGGAAATCCATTGATAAAAACACAGACGGCATGACAGTTAAGTCACATAACCATTGAAGGTTGAGTTGTTTCATCGACTAATTTACCATTCCATCCCCTTCGAGCAAATAAGACATTTAAGAGAAATTTCACTCATAAAACTACGTAATTAGTATGATCAAATTGTCAAAATAGTAACATTCAGGTTCATAGGCAAATGTGCGTCTTGTGTGCCATCGAAACCTTGATGTTCGAGAATATTCTTGGGGAAGACGGACAACAATAATAGCTGCAGAACATCGAACATGTATAGAGGACTACACAGAATTCTCATCGTGAAGGTTTCAATCGCCTACCATAAAACAATTTGATGGGAAATACTAGATGTGTTCTATTTCCTTGCTTGTTTTCTAGAAGCTGAACTAGCCAAGATTGATATCATGTGGAGACTTGTTAGATGACAGATGATGGGAAATATTGTTGGATTCATCACCCTAACTAGTCCTGGACTCCTGGTATTATGAAGAGACTTGATAGATATGGAGGGATTGAATAGTGTCAAACTGGGTGGATATGAGATGGAGATCGAATGACAAGATGTTACATTCTGATTCCTAATCCGCAGATCAAGAGTCAAGACTCTTGGACCTTCCACATGTCATCTGGATACATATGGCCACACTATGTTGGATATGTAAAACGTATTTGCTCAAAGGTCTTTGAACAAGTCATGATATGAATAAACATTCAAAATTCTTATATGCTATGATATGATAGTATGGCAATGTCCTTCAGTGACAAACTATAACAGCTATGGTATGATTATAGGTTCATCCATCATGCTTTCTCATATGCTATTCCCATCTGAAACCAACACAATTTTGTGAAGTCATAAAGAGTAGACTTAATTAGCCTGTAATAATATCTCACTCCAGTTAAAACCTGATATAGGTCATGCTTAGAATAGTCATGATGCATAACACACTTGTTAAAGAAATATATTACTAGGATATATGTGACATCAAATCTCCAAATACAGAAGAAAAAAGAAACATATCTCAAAATATTTTAAAGGTTTTGACCTGCACCAAAGTTAACATGTTTGAGTAATGGAAATCTTTTAGAACAAGATTCTAGGTATTGCACCGTTTTGTTACACAGCAACTTGCTATTGTAGAAAAATATCAACATATAACAACATAACTATTACACAGGATAATTGATAGAAGTATAAGGAAGTAAAATCTTACATGCATGTTCTACAAACTGCACAAACATGTCACACCCCCTAATTCCCCTAGTGATTATGACACCGTAAGATGTCTCGTAGCATTAAAATGTCAACAATCAGCATCAACCACTTCACAAAATGTGCTTCAGAATTACATTAAGTGACTCCCTAAACATAACAACATTCAAAGACTTGGACAACTTGTAAGTCCAACACCAACACTGTTCACAAGGTGATTACATAATATTCAGATGCTGAAACAATGTAGATAGTATAACATGAATCCTGACTGAGATTAGGAACCCCAGTTTTTCTTTTTACCCTTGCCACACCCTGACTTGCCTTCTTCTGAGATACGCGTCACTGGTTAGCTATTAAGCTTAGTGAGTTGATGGCTTTTCATGCAAAACTCCTTTTAGAACACATCATCAAAGTATGGGCATCTAACTAGTAAAACACATCATCGAAGTACGGGCATCTAACTATACCAACTTGTAAGGCAACATAAGTCACCATAACAAGCATACACCATGCATGAAAACATTTCAACGTAAACAATTAAGCTTTATATCACCATAGGAACATACTCCTAAATAACATACACTTTACGAGATCTCAACATTCATATATTATGTGCATCACTGTATTTCTTATGATACGCATAGATGGGCTCGCTCAAACTATCCTGGCTTTATTTCTAGGGAACAAAGGGGCTCATCTCACCCTGGCACATAGTTACGTCATCCCGGTATGTGAACCCACATACATACCATGGATTGACCCATAGAAGGGCATACAGTGGCACGTCCCACCGTGTTGTCTCCCTGCCGAAAGGTTAAAATTTACGTTTATGAAAGGTGTGACCGTATCGTTTTAGAAGGTGCCACCGTATGATATTCAAAAGTTCAAGAAGGTGCAACCGTACCTCGTAATCAACCAAAAAAAATTCTTGAAATCAACCAAAAAAGTCCCTCGAAATCGATAAAAAAAACTAAGAAATTTCTCGAAATCAAGCAAAAAACTTTAAAAATCCCTCAAAACAGTGGAATTAGGCTAAAAACACATCGGACGATATTGAACGTTAGTAAAAACATGAAGACACGTCGATAAAAACCTTGCTTTTTGTAATTATTTTTTGTCTATATTATATGGTGCCACCTTATAAAGAAATTCCTGGGTTCGTCCTTGATACATACCGACACAAAATTATCATTTTTTAAATAGCACAATAATTTAAGCATGCTAAATTGTTTAAAACGTGTAAAACACATGAAATACTTAACTTCTTTTAAAATATTGAAACATAATGGACATGTAGCAGTTTCGATAAACTGGCCTGGATTAGCACTTACACAATCATAGCATGCCTATTAAGTGCCCAAACATATTATTGAACGCTAATATTGATTTATTGTGCACAAATAAATGATCCGTGCACCCAAGAGAGGGGTCGAGGCGACACAACTGATGTTGCTCAACCTTGGCGACTTCCTATGTGACTTCACAAGTGATATCCAAGTCGCGTACCTTAAGCCGCTTAATTGGGCCACTTGCAAGTTGCTTCCATCGTCACCTGATACTTTGTCTTCATGACTTTGGCAATGTGACTCACGTGTTGCTTTCCGAGTTGCTTTTGGCATACCAAAAGCCTGCTGTTTGACTAACGGTCGAAGTTTGGCTATTCTAGGTCATTTTAACACCAAACTTCTTCATTCCTTTTGTATACAAACACTCCCAAAATGTTTATTTACCATATATCTTATGCAATGATGTGTATTAACAAATATGCATCAACTCTACTGACTTGTTTCTCTGTTCAAGCACAGCAACACATGTCACCAATTGTCACAAACTTGACGGCCTTAAGGTTTCTCTGTTTACTTCATTCACATACTAAAGAACTCCATAACATAATGTGCTACTAAACAACGTTAAAAAGAAGCTTTAACACATAATTATTACCTCATATCACTTAGGGGTGTTCAAAAAAACCGTTGGACCGCTCAAACCGGCCGAACCAAGTCAGACCGGACCGTTTTTGGCGGTTTGAGCGGTTTGGCTTGGTTTGGAAACTAGTAAAACCGGGCGGTTCGGTCCGGTCTGCGGTTTGGAACATTTTTTGGACGGTTTGAACCAAACCGACCGCCATATATATATATATATATATGTAATTTAATTATTTATTTTAATATTAGCAAGTCCAACTTTTTTAACTTATGGACTATAGTTCAAATATATCCCTAAGCCCAACATAAAGTCTAACATCTAACATAATCAAAATGGATATTTAATCTAAAATTATAAATTATATATGTTTTTTTTAGTTTAACATTTAAAGTCCATGAAAGGCCCAAACCGCCTAAACCGGTCAGACCAGACCGCCTTTTCATGGTCTGGTTTGACTGGTCTGGACACTTGATGTCAAACCGCTCGGTTTGAAAATTTTATAAACCGCCATTACGGTTTGGTTTGTGGTCTGAGAGGTTTAACCGGCCAAACCGGACCGCGAACACCCCTAATATCACTGATGGATGCTTCCAGAACTTGCTGTGAGCTTTCTGCTCCCTCCTTGCTCCTTTTCTCCCTCCAAACACACCCACAACTCAATCTGTTTCTTGGTTTTCTTCTGAGATGAATGGAGGGTAAATTTTGATCCGTGGTTTCTCCAATCCAGATCACAATCTCACTATAAATCATCCTCCATTATGGTTGTTAAGTTCTAAGCTTCATGTGTTTCATTATCTTGCAGTCAGGTCCACTAGTTCATACAAAAGGCTGAATAGCCCCTGGAACTCACAACTTTCGTCCTATCACATGACTAACCCCTCCCTTGAACTCCCCTTTGCATTTGAGTCCATTTTTGGGGTGTTAACAAACACGCCTCAGAGTGAAAATCAAGAGTTCCACCCCTACCTGCAACTTGTGAATATGTGCGAGTATACAAGTACATGATATGTGGATGCAAGGATTTACAAATTTTAAAAACATTGAGGATGAGGGTATGTGTTTGTATGCAACTATGCATGCGTATACATATACGGATCTAAAATCAAACCAATAATAGAAAGAAGTTGTTTCACTATTTATGCATCATCTAATATATATGATAAATACACACTAAAGCGTATGTCTTATTATGTTTTTGCTTTACCTATCAGGCCCCTATTATTCCGAACCATAACAAAAAAATAACTTGTGTCGTCTTTTATTCTCTTTCACGGGCATAAAACTTGAATTTCTTTTTTTTTTTTTTTAGTCTTGATTTCTCATTTTGCAATTTGTGAATACTCATTTCTTTTTTGGTAAAATCAGATCAAACTTGCCCTTGTGTATTCTCATATCCCCATGAATTCATAGTCAATAATTCGGGGATACAATCAATGCCCCAAATACCCCTATATGGGGATTCAGGCAGGGGAAGAAGCATCCTCTGCTTCCTAGTCCAAGACCATGGGCAAAACTTATGATCCAAACCACATGCTTTTACAGGGACTTAAGAGATTAACAACACCTTAATCAGAATTCACGCTTTAAAAGAAGTTGGTTGAATATTCATGTTCAGATATTCTATGTGCTTTGACAGCCATATATAAGATTCTACTTGTAAAGTTTCATCATCCACTATTACCACTATAATATGGCACTGTAAACCTTTGTGGAACGTGTTCTCTTTTTCTTGTCATCCTGAGTAAGGACTATCTGGAACATGAAGGTTTGTGGTCTTTCACTATAGCCCTAGTAGTATTTTTGAGGCTCTTGAATGCACTAGTAAAGCTGGCAAGTAATGTTTGCCATCATCACTGAATGTAGTTATTGATTTCGCATGGTGATGTACTTGTCAATCAGTCTGTTAGGGTTACATTTTATAGTTATTGATTCTGCCTGGTGGTTATTATTTAGTTTATTATGGCGGTACCCAGAATAGAATATAATGAGTTGAGGTATCTGTCTCATGGTTTTGTAAAATTGCAGGTTGATGCGGTGGTGTATCTAGTGGATGCGTATGATAAGGAACGGTTTGCAGAGTCAAAGAAGGAATTGGATGCACTTCTTTCTGATGAGAACCTGTCTGCTGTCCCATTCCTGATATTGGGGAACAAGATTGACATACCATATGCTGCCTCAGAGGATGAATTGCGCTACCACCTTGGACTGACTGGTGTAACCACGGGCAAAGGGAAGGTGAATCTCCAAGATTCAAGTGTGCGTCCATTGGAGGTATTTATGTGCAGCATTGTTCGCAAAATGGGTTATGGTGATGGATTCAAATGGGTCTCTCAATACATCAAGTAGGGGGGGTTGGGGGAATGGAGAGAGAGAGAGAGACATCATAACCTCTTGAAGAAGAGAAAAACAAAAAAAAAATAAAAATAAAAGGTAAGGAAGAACATTTGGATCCCAAAATTAGATTTTGATTCTTGATTGTGTAAGTGGGATTTTGTTTGATGTGGTTGTGTGGAAGAAAGTACCCTCTCTGTTATTTGTTGGTCTGTAAAATTTAAATTGTAGCGCGCTTAGACCAGTTTGAAATTGATTTAGTTTCGGTGCACTTTGCTATTTTGTGGATGACATGTAAAAGTATGGTCTGAGAAGCAGAAGCTGAAGCTGAAGCTGTTGTTTAAAAAGCTTGTTTTGACTTGTTTTATAGATGTAAAGGAAGAGGTGTTTTGAGGATTGAGGTGAAGGAGAGAATATAAGAAGTAGAATGGTTGAACTTTTTTTGATTTTGAATAATCAACTTTCTTAAATAAATAGATAGATGGTTAAATTTTTATAAATTGGTTAATTACATTATTTTAACTAAAAAACTATTTGTACGCGGTTAGAAAAGGAGGGTTTAAACAAACTAAAATTTCTAAAAGTTTAAAGAAATTAAATAAAAAGTTAAAATTGTAGAAAAAGTATGGATGATGGATAGATAAGAATAAGAGGTTTGGGGTCGTGCAGCTGCAGGCACTTTTCTATACCAAACTTTGATATTGATTCCTCAACGGTAATCCTATTTTGATTTAATTGATCCTCATTTACTTACTAGAGAGAGTTTTTAATTGTAACCTTTTTATTCCAACATAAAATGTTATGATTGATTTAATAAAGTTTATGATTAAAAAGAATATATATTGTTTTTAATGTTTAATAATGATTAGGAGGAAGAGGATATGCATTGTTTGAATATATATATATATAATATTTGGGTTTGTGGCAAAATGGGAGACGTTGGTGGCCAATTAAATGGGAAGCGTGTGGACTTTGTCAACTGTAAGTAACATACCATAACACCACTACTTCCATTCCATTCCAATCCACTCCAAGTGGTCTATTCATATTTGTTTGATAAACTCTCCTTTTTTCTATTCAAATAATCCAATCTTTTTTACTCAAATAACGTATTCCCAAGTTTCTTTGTTTAAAAAAATAAACATAATTTGAGGAGCTATCACTTGATTGAATTCTAATCCAAATTAGCATATGCTATGGTAGTGTAGTGGGTCCTTTCTACACCATTTTCTATATTCATATCAATCCTAAACCCAAAACCATTTAAGTAATATACTATTTTCTATAAAATAATAATATAACTTTAATTCATTAAGACTAAGATTATTAGGTGGGGGATATGAGTAATTGTTTTAGTACCAAGAATAATAATGGGAATTGTATTCAATGAAATTAAATCTCAAGGTAAGAAATAGTTTGTTGTTTTGAGGATTAAAAAACAAGGAAGGTTTATATTTAAGACTCTAAATCATGATGAATAATTAGTTGTTTCTTAAACCATCTAATCTTAATCACCAAAATTGTGATTTTGACCAACTGCCTTACAATTAATTAAATAAAAAATTTTAATCACAAAACTGTAATCTTAAATAAATTATCTTTATTGATTTATTTTTTCAAATTAAGGTATTATTTAATAAATTTTATGATTTATATTCATTCTCTTATTTTGTTATTGTTTTCGTAACAACCCAACTCTCTTTTTACATTGATCTAAGAAAACAATTTATAAAAAAAAATCATGAATTTAGTTTTGATAAAATATATATGTGTTTTTATTACAATTATAATCATAATCATAATCATAATCATAATCATAATCATAATCATAATCATAATCATAATCATAATCATAAAATTAAAATAAAGAAAAAAAATAATAGAGATGTTGCTTGTCCTTTTATTTATGTTGGTAATTAGAAGAGGGATGAGGGGTTGGGGTTGGGGTTGGAGTCGACTGGTACTGAATTAAGAAACAAGGGTATTCTTGGAATTTTAATGCTGGTTTCATCCCTTATAAGAAAGGCCCAAAAGCTCTCTTCCTTCCCTCCCTCCCTCCTCTCCTACAAACACAAACACAAACACAAACACCAACACCAACAGATACAGATACAGATACACCAACAGAGAAAAAAGCGTATTCCTGTGTAATGAAAAAAACTATGGAGCAAGTCATATTCAACGTTGATGATGAATATTTTTTGTATTCAGCATCTGAGATCATTTGTTGCAGAATTTGTCATGAAGCAGAGTTCGAAACCTCTAAACCCTTGGAAACTCCATGTTCTTGTTCTGGAACCGTCAAGGTATCTTTTACGATTTCCTTTTTCTTTTTCTTTTTTTAATACAAACCTTTGAATCTCTTGTGTTTTGTTTTGATTTGATCATCAGTTTGCTCACAGAGATTGCGTTCAGAGATGGTGTGATGAGAAGGGAAACACGATTTGTGAAATTTGTCTCCAGGTTAGGTCTATTGTTCGTATTCAAATACGGTTTATTGTCGTTTTCGTTTCATCAATGATCGGCCTTTACTTTGTCCTGTTTGTTGCCGTACAAGCTGAATTTGTGAAACAACGCTGCTACTCGTTTTTCCTTTTGAATTATTCATTCATGGAAATAAAAAAGAGGATGTCTATGATGACTATAACCAACAATTCAAGTGTGTCCGTACATGTGTCTTCTATTATAGAATAAATACAGATTACTACGCTCTAATTCAACTTTATTTTCTTCTGCTTTTCAAGTTTATAACCATCTTCATCTGGAAATTCAACTTTTCTAGGAATTACGATCATTATTTTACCCCTTGATGGTATCATCGCATTATTTGATTTTATAACTAAAATTTGAAAATAATAGTATTTATTTATTTAATGAATGATGGAAGGTCGGTCAAATAAATGGCATATACTCAACTTTTATATCAAGAAATCAAATCTGTATATTCATTTCCATATTCCTTGTCAACAATTAAAGCTACAGAAGACTACTTTTATCTCAAATTTTACAACTTTTTCTCTCCTCATTTCAAAGAAAAAGATGTGCTACCATTTTCGACAAAAATATCTCCTACCTACATAAACATTACATGCCTCATCTTTTTTCTTTCTGTTTAACAGATCATTATTATTATTATTATTATTATTATTATTATTATTATGTGGTCAACATTCAAAGCATAAAGATGTAGAGGATGAATTATTTGTTTGTTATAAACTGCAGTTGCTTTGATAACAATTTTGTTTTGCAAATGAGGAACATGTACCAGAAAAAGAAACCCCATACCAAACTAAAAAGGACATCTACTTTTGTTTTACGTTGCAGAAATTTGAACCCGGCTACTCGCTATCACCCCTCAAGAAGGCCTCTCAACACATTGACGACACTCGTCTCACCATTCGGTACTTACTAATTACCCTTTCCCAGCTGCTATTATATGCAAAACAAAATATGAGTAAAAATACAAGATATGGTGTTTTCTTGACATAAATAAACATGTTAATGTTCAGATTTCATTTGTTTGTCATTTTCTATTACTTTTATTCTCACTACCTTCAAATAAATAACATTTTAAAACATATCAAAATTCTTGAAACGAAAATATCAAAGATATATTACGTGACCGAAAAAAGCATCCTTAATTAAGACATCCACATTAGCTGTTTGCATTTAAATTAACAGCTCATAATTTCTTTTCAATATTAAATTTGCTTATGTATTTGGCTAATTATGGGTTGGCTGCCTTATATAATGTGAAAGACTGAAAGTAGAAAGTCTTGCCTTATCTTTCATAATCCATCTCCAAATATAATATATATTTTTTATTTTATGGTTTTAAATTCACCGCCAATATTCTTAAATTACAATCACCCAGACATGCTTCCTTTTTTTAAGTTTCAGACCCAAAAAGTACAGAAAAAAAAAACAATGATTGAAGACGCAATCCCCTTTTAGGAAACTAGTCTAGCCTAAGGACAAATATTCAAATTTAATGTTGCAAATTTTGTCTTAATTATAATAATTCACAATGATAGAGAAAGCTCGGAAGTTCCAAGAACAGATGAAAATCTAGAAACTGTTAACATTGCTATTGCCGGTGATGAAGAAGAAAGCTTGGTTGAACAAGACTACGCCGCAGAGTGCTCATCAGCTGCCGACACAGCTGCTTCTATGTGCAGAACTTTGGCTCTCATTGTAAGTTTTAAAATTACCACTTAGATACAAATATTTCATATAAATATATAAAATGATTGCTTCTTTCTCCTCCTAAAAAAGAAAGTAATACCAAAGACGTTCAAAGTCAAAATATATTTTATTATCTTGATTTTGATTTCAATTTTGATTTTGTGTCTAGGAAATCAAGTTTTTGGTCCTATGGTTTGAAAAGTCTCAAAGTAATGTTCACGTGGTATTAATCAAGCCAAGGTGGCCAACTATTTTTCTTGAAACAAAGTAAACTGTTTTAGCAACAAATTAAAATTTTGACGCCTTCATTTCAGCATGTTAGTATTTTAAACACAAATGATGGTGATGGTTTGTTGATTTGAAATTCTGAATACAAGACGTTTGGTTAAATGCCATGAAAGCTATAAATAAAAATGATGCCAAGAATTCCCCAAATAAGGCAAAGTTGTTATGAGACCACGTGACTATTGCTGCTGTCCTGTTCTAAATCTTATTATTGATGAAACCTTCCTGCAGTTTACCGTACTTCTACTAGTCAGACATTCCATTGGAGTCTTAATGGGAGAAACAGGGGATTACCCGTTTACGCTCCTGACGGTAAGTGCCCGTAACATAAACACAACTCCTTACTTACTAATCATCTTATTATGATTACGATTACGATTATGATTATGATTAATGATGTGTAGCTGCTAGTTATAAAGGCTAGCGGGATATTACTTCCAATGTACATAATAATGCGGATCATCGATGTGGTCCATAACAGCATCACATGTCAATATCAGGTTTGTCCCAGATTAACTAGTCTTATCTCATTTCATCTGATTGAGACATGGTGCATATAACTTGTACTATGATTTTGTCTAGCAGGAACCTAACAATACCACAATGAGCTTAGAGGATGGAGGGCATCACAGTTGATGATATAACCTTTTCATTTCATTCCTCCACACATACAAATATACGATATTTCAAAAACAATACAAAGAGTCGGTACCATATAGATATTGTTTGTACTACCAGCTGCCTGTATGTATATTATTAGTATCTTCCCCTATCTTAATGGAAGATGAGAGAGAATTCAAAAGGAAAAAGAGGATCAATTTATTAAACGGCTACGACTTGTTTATATCATTCAAAATTCGGCCTGGAGGTACAACCATTGTAGTAGCATAATTGGTCTAAGTATTAATTAATGCTTGAGAAATAAACATGCCATTCACATACATTTGCATTCATTACTCCATCTACATGTGGATTATAAAAATGGGCTTTGCTGCAATTTCAATTCAAAATTCCCATCTAACCCTGGTTGCAATATTTGCACTGTTTCAACTTTCAACTACCAATTACAGATTTGAACATAAAAAACTTGTGCATTCCACTGTACAAAATCATCTCACATAGCATAGCATACTACTGGAAAGTGTAGAGAGAGATAGAGAGAGGCATGCCAGTTGTTTTACTTTTGCTCCAAAAGTATCTTTGCCCTATTCTGCAATTCAAATATGGCATCAGCTGAAGAACCGCAATGACAATTCCATAAGCTCTGCATGATCACCACCACCTCCTTTTCCCAGCCCTTGGACTGTTTTCTCTTCTTACCATACATCGCCTCAAACTCTTCCGACTTGGTTGCAGCCTTTTGAAGCACCCCATCAGGAAGTCCTGAAACCACGCTTCATTGTGTTACATTGAATCACCATATAGACAACAGATAACCAACAAAACACAGAAATTATAGAACTGGCCAATGTTCACTGGCAATTCTTGAATAGGAAAAAGAGTGGATCTGCAACCAATTATCCAATCATTCCCTTGACTTTATTCAGAACTTAATCGAATCACATAGTTCAGTTTGTGAAAAACTGAGATATGATATGCAACTGAAACAAGTTCTTGCTAATGGTAAAAAAGGGGGTTTGAATGCATTTCAAAAAAGTCTGGAATATACTACTGTTTGTATCCAGCCAGAGTATAACAAAAGCAAAACATAAGCTAGATGTGCCATAATTGGTAGCTTGTTGCCAGACAATGAACTAGTTCTGTAGAAAATAGCCGCCTGAAAAACACAAAAAATCAGAGGGGGAGAAAGGAATTTGCCTGCTAGCCGCGCAACGTTGACACCATAGCTTTTGGGGCATGCACCAAGTGTCAATTTGTAGAGAAATGTTACCTCCTCTAGACCTCCAACTCCATTTCCAACTTGACATGCCATGTGACACAGGGAAACCTACAACACAAGGAGAAACAGACATTACAGGATTGTTTTGTGAACTGCATGGTACATGGTTTTAGTGGAAATTTTGCAACATGCTTTTTATATTGGGTTTCACTAAAATAAGGAACCCGTCAAAATAAATCATGATTAATAGATCATTGACAATATGAAGAAAAGAAATTCATAAAAGACCAGTCTAATCTAATCAAAAAAGTTGTTTTATAGCTTCCAAAAAACTGAGAAAAGGAGATGCAAGGGACTATACCTTGGGAATTCGCTGATAGTCCAAAGCTAAGTGGTGATAGTGAGTAGAGAACAACCCCCGGCACTGGACCTTATTGACAAGGTGTTCAAGAACAGATGCACTGCAACCAAATAGTCAGAAAAGACAACCCTTCATTAAAGCATGAGAAATGGTAACTGGCGAAACATATAATATTATACGAAAGCTGTCGATGCTTCTCTTATCGATATGGAACATACGCTATAGCTTGTCCATCTGACGTTGCCGTCCCTCGTCCAAGTTCATCTAATGCCACAAGTGAGTTATGGGTTGCTGATGACTGCATTATAACATGAAAAGATCTTCATAAACACCAACATTCACTAGATATCAAAAGGGCAACATGGGGAAACTAGGATGTTTGAAAAGATAAAAATGACCCCGGATGACATATTTGAAGAAAAGTTGGAATAAGCAGTTCCTTCATTCTTTGCCAATGTAGCAACAATGAAGTTTTCAAGGGAAATAAAGCTTTTATTTGAAATGAAAGCAGGTGAGAATGACCATTTACTACTGTGATAACAATGTCTATATAAAAATAAATAAATTACACACCAGCATAGATGCAGTTTCCAGAAGCTCGGTTAGAAATGTACTCTGGCCTGCCATTATATGGTCCTTCGCACCCATCCGAACAAATATACGATCAACTGGAGACATCTTAAACCTTTCTGCTGGCACATCTGCTCCCACCTGGAACATAACTAGGGTAAGTGTGACTAAGAAACATGAATTAGAGATCTTACATGACAACATGAACTTGCCTGGGCCAAAATCACTGCTAAACAAACTTGACGTAGAAGAGTAGACTTCCCACCCATGTTGGGACCAGTAAGCAGGATAAATCTGGCATGATTGGACCCACCAATACAAACATCATTTGAGACAAAGGTGGCATCCCCCAGAGAATCATTTCGAAGCACAGGATGCCCTAAATTTTTAGCAGCAAGAAATGGTGCTTCATCCTCGATTGATGGATCCACAATAAGGGGACGACATGTTGGTCCTTCATAGAGGTCACTTGCAATTGCTATGCTGATGAGGACATCGAGTTCTAAAAGACATAAACCAACCCAACAAAACCAAATAATAATAAATTTTCAAAGATTGAGTGTAAAGCAAAGACATATAAGAGGTTGTTAGCATAGTATATATAGACAGTGTATTCAGGAGATGCTCTATAATAGAAGGTTCTTCTGTTTACACATTTAGACAGGCAACTGGATGATGATACAAGATAAAAATAGATCATATTTTACAAGCAAAATCATACAACAACAGCAAAAAGCACGAACTAGCAGAAGATAAAGACCTGCAGCTGTAGAAATCAATTGTCTCCAGCTAACATGATGCTCACAGAAGCGCCCAATCAACCTCTGCATGATGCTTTTAAACTTGGACTCCTTTTCAGATTCAGCTTCTGAGAGCTTCTTAATATAATTCTTAATAGCAGGAGTCCAGTAACGAGAGAAACCCTGGTCATCAATCAAGAGAACGAACATATAAATATGGAAGACACATAAGAAACTAACAAGCGTAAACCTGGCAATTGTCCATAAGTTCACAGCCAAATATACGCTTGTTCCAACGTGATGCACAAACTTGGTCCAGGTGTATGCACAAGACAGGAAACCAGGATGAAACAAACAAGAACCGTTGTAGATATATCAGCAATTAAACAGCCATTTTAGAAGGCAATAATGATATTGGAAAGAATCAGAGCCACCCACTCTGACATTGATAATTTTTGGATGGATATTATGGTGTGAACTTTCTTGTAATTAAATATAAAATGGAGGACATATTTAAAGGCCAGCATCAATGGCAGAAAATGATGATAGAATGCGTGTGTATGTTCATATAACACCAGTTGGTGTATTATTTACACTACACTCACATGTCTCATTGAGAAATGAATTTACACACCATAACCCTTGTAAGTTAATTACTAAATAACTTCCAAAGATCCGTATATGCAGTGTAGGTTAAACAAGTAAAGGCGATATGTATAGCGCAGAAACATACCCACGGTATTTTCTTTTCATCAAACAGTAAAAAGCATATTGGTAGCAACAGCTTCAACTCAATATGTAAAATCTAAACCCAGAGTTCAATATTAAGTTCGTTGAATTTAGGTAACCGTCTTCACATTCCCATATCCATCCCTAGACGAATCGTATAAACATTAACATACCTACTGACAGAAGCATACAATTCAAGCTATAAAATCTACCTTTTTGGACGATTGTAGCTCATAATCACAAGGGACATTCCCGCACAGACTTTCAGGTACTTCAAGCAGATATGATACCTTTCCGACAGTAACGTAATTGATCTATACAACATCATACAAACAGAATTAATATGGTAAATTGGAAAAACTATTCAGAACATTGAGTCAAGTAATCTAACTGATGGATCTCCAAGTAGTTTTCTCTGTTCCTTCAAGTGCTTTGTCAGACTCCATTCGATATCTGTAACCATACTGCAGGCAGTGTCATATTCTTTATCAACACCATCCCGAGGGATTATACGCCCTGAATTTTTTGCCTCCATCCAATCAAAAGCATCCTTGAAATGCCTAAGGACTGCATAAACATCTGGAAGACCTTTGCCTGAATATAATTAACAATTATTCAAGTTAGATACAGCAGATCATGTATGAGAATTATAAAGCAATCAATCAAAATTGTACCAGGTGTTAGTAAGTGATGCAGCAGCCTAGAATCAGAATTTTCCATAATGACACCTAGTGAAGAGCATGCATTTATAATTAATTCACAGCCACTAAGAACCATTATGAACTCCTGAAGCTGTTTCTTTGCTGCATCCTCATAGAGAACCACTTTACTCGAATTCCTACCATTAGCTTCACTGCTTCATATCAAATTTCTGAATGTTACTAATAGAATCAACATATAGGTATATAGTGAGTTCATCACGTTCTGGTCTTTACCTACAGGAAAAGATGTGTGCAAGCAACCGCTCCATGTCTGGAAGCATTGACAACTGTTTACGAAATTCAAGTGCATGAGGCAGATTAACTCCCTGGCATAAAAACTCTATCAGAACATGGACATTCATCTCCATTCATCATATAAAATATATAAATGCAGCATTGCAGATCAAACAATTTAAACTTAAAACTCTTTCTACAGCTAGAGTAAATAAAAATAAAGAAGTTTGTGGTGTTGGGGGGGGGGGGGGTCAGTTGGCAAAACAATCTTCACCAGGCAAATTCTGGAGTAACTCTGGTGTTGAAACTATTCAACTAAATTTCATTATGTGTTCCAATCTAATTGGTCATTTGTAGTAATTGTTCTTCTAAGCTTGTTTACTAAAAACCTTCAAGCAATCTCCATTTGCAAGTCCCATGGAAATTACAACTTCCCTTTAGGGGTAACTTCTTGAACTAAATTGATCAGTCTGCCTGTTGTCTAGATAAAAAAATAAGTCATTCATTTCAGAGCACGAGGCACCCTATCTTGACATCAGAGGGTACTCAAAGGACATAAATCTCAAAAGTAAAAGTTGACAAAAGCAAGATATGAAACATGGTTAAGCCAGATACCGGGAGGGGGGGGGGGAGTTTCAAAGATTGCAATACTGGTACATATATGTGCTTTACAAGATTGGAATAAAAGAAATATTTAATAATGATGTAAAATAAGAATTCAGAGAACCTTCACACCAGCTACAGCTTCCTGGCGTTCCCAGATTGAGTCTATGTGATATAAAGGTCTAGCAAGCCATGCTTTAAGCAACCTCTTCCCAAATGCAGTCACACAACGGTTTAGTTGATCATACAATGTCCTGCATAGATGAACATGGAAAATTAGGACTAGCCAACTAGTAAATGTGAATAAGATGTTGCAGAAGGTACCCTTTAGCGTCTCCACTTCCGCTGTTCTCAAAAACCTCAAGGTTCTCCAAAGCAGCTGCATCAAGAATCATATATGGTTTTGTCGTGAACTCACTGGATCCAGAACATGGAAGTAGCTCGAATTTTGCAAATCGGAGCAATGCCTCGTCCAAGAAGGCCTTTTTCAGGTAAAATAGAATACCCCCAAGGGCCGAGAGAGCATAGCAACCAATTTTTCCTGCAGCCATTAGCTCAGAGAGACCTTCGGGTAGGCAATCCTTACTAGCACATGGTATGGATTCATTCAAAGACAATTTAACTGATTGATTACTGATTCGCTGATAAATCTCCTTGATTTCGCAGATAGTTTTCTCAGCATCCCAAAATTCTTCGAGCGGTACCAACTCATTTACGACAGGACTTCTTGTTTGTCTCAGAAGTACTCTTTCTGTTTCAGGGCTGAGCAATTTAATAGGTTTTATGATTTCCACTGGTCTTAGTTGAGACAATAGACAGCTCAACACACTGCACTCCAAATCATCTTCAAACTGTAAAAATGTGCCACATTTAGTCTACTTCTCCGGTAGATGGTAGCGATTAAAAATCTCTTGTAATAAACAACAACAAAGCCCCAAAAAGTCGAGAAAGTGAAAATATAACAGAAGCAGAAAAAGCTAACGCAAAGAATTCCAATTCTGCATTTAGTTCACACCTGTCCAATGATGATCTTCCCCGTAGCAACATCAACAACACAAACGCCATAGACTCTATCATCATGTTGCTTTCCTGATGGTTGATAGCATTCAGAAACTGCAAACAGGTAAGAAGCATCGGGATTGGCTGACAACATTTCACCATCAGTCAATGTCCCTTTGGTGATTACTGCACATATTTCACGTTTCACAACCTAAAAAACAGGTACAAAATGTCAAGAACAGGAGATCTACATTTATGCTATGCCCTTCAAAAAGTAGAAGTGTGCTCATGTTTAACTAACCTTATCTTTAGAACCGTGCTCTTTGTTACGCCTCTCAAGCTGGTCAGGTGTCTCTGTCTGCTCAACGACTAGAACACGGTAACCCTGCTCCATCATTAATGTTCAAATAAATATTCTCCACAATGATATAAGATATCATTGACAAGAAAAATAGAAGTGGCCCAATGTAAGAAACTTAAAAAATAACCTTGCAAGCCAACTTCCCCACGTTCAAAGCAAAGTTCTTTTCTGGGAATCCACAATGAGGCTGGTCTCCCTGAGAAACAGTAGCATCGTGAAATACACAAATAATTTTGGGGGGAATATAAGCAAGCCAATGATAATGTCAAGAGTTTTAACTTCATCCAACTACTCAATACAGAGGGTGCCCAAGCCTTGGCAACTACAGTGTGTGTTCATTTTGGATAATTCTTATCAACCATAAGTTGTGCTTGCCTTCCTAATTTTAGCGTAGGCCTACTTTACGCCTAAATTAGGATGTAACTCTGCCAACTTTGCCATTATGTCCTAAACTAGTTGACTACTCCAGGAGATCACAGAAGACAATTATATTTAGCCTCAAATTGTTGAGGTGAAATAGTTAATCAAGTACTCCAACCCTGTCCACCCTCCACAATACCGAGGTGTCTGTTTGTTTTAACTTGTAAATATACATTGTTGTTTTCACTTGAAACCATGCATTTCTTCAAACTTAAAGTAACCTGTTTTCTGAAATAATACCATAAAGAATGAGAAGAAAACTAATAAACACCAAGATATGGAAGACATGGTTTTCAAGATATTGATTTAGACCGACATCAAATGAGAGGAAAAACTTGATGAGTATTACACTCAACAAGGGCCAGAGTTTCCATTTCCATCAAACCACATCAAAGCACACATCAAGTGCAGCTTATCATTAAAAGATGAAAATAAACCAAGAAACAATTAAAAAGTATCGAAAAAGAATGACCAAAAGTCAATAGTGAACACATTATACACAGATGTTTTACCTTCATATATTGCAAATCAAGTTCTTTTGCTCCAACATGGGCGTCCATTTCAAAGAGCTCATAGAACTTTCCCATCTGATTAGTAACACAAGGTTAGCAACCAAGGCAACAACAGCTATGAGAGAAATATCTGATGATTGCTGATCTTCATTCTATGTAGATAGATTAATTACCTTAAAAAACAGAACCTTATCCATATGTTTCGACTTGAACTCCCACCATTGCCTCTAATTTAACAAAAGGCGGATCACTTCAAATACTAGCATATTGTACAATTTAATCACTTGTTATTTGTCAATCCTAGACCAAAAACCAATTACCTGGCCACCTGTTAAACTCTTCAGAAAGTGAGGTGGCAAGTACAGAGTTCTTGGGTCATAATTTTCGTCTCCAGGGGATCGCTTCTTGGCATCCCTCCGGTCTCTGCTCATTAAGAAGCTTCAGTTAAGTATAGGTAGCAATATAACACCAGAGCAAGACCAGCATAGGAAGCAACTAAACTGCATTTCTGTATATCAACAATACAGAGATGGGGAAGAGATTGTTTGGCATTAGCTTGGGATCTAGTAAAGTATAATTGTGAAAATTAACACAAGGATTGAAGATACTCATGTGACATTTTTGGGTTTCTCTGGGGTAATAAGAACATGAAGCTGAATTTGTTGATTTGTACACTCCATCATGGCTTATCATGATTGGCCAGATTGTGTATAGCAACTCATTTTAACAAAGCAAAGCAATAACGACTTAGAATGAAAAAAAAAATCAAGAACCCAAGGAAATGCTCAAGTACTTACTTCCCAATAAATTTGAATTTCTCTTCTTCTCTAGTGGTAAATCTTTCAGCTTTGTCACCAACTAGAACATTGTCAACAAAAGCAGACGTCTTCCCACTTGCAACTGCACAGTGATCACTTTATTATTTAAAAAAGCATATGATGGTTCTAATACACTTGTTTAAAGGAACTAGAGTACACAATTCACCAACAAATAAATTATAAATACTTGAAACTTGCACCAGGCGTTTATGACATATATGAAGCAGAGGAGTTATTCATTGAAAAAGACAGATAGAATGAAGTTCACTCCAATATAGTTCTGCCTTCATTAAGCTCTTCATTGACATGGAGAAAGAAGTTCCTTGTGAACCTAAAACGTAGTAGCAAATGAGAAAACACCTCTTACTTACAATTGTTATTAATATTGTTTATAGGCTCCAAACTTGCCCGGCTTAAATCCATGAAAGATTCGGTCTTGATCTTCTTAGCAGAATCCAATTTCATTCCAGAGCTCTTGCGCTTCTTGAGGTCCGGTTTTACTGCCACAGTATTTTCCTCATCCTCGTCTACCAAATCTAAATCATCTGTTTCATCACCAATCACTTCCTTTTCAACATGGATTCCCCAATCTTCATCGGCAGAATCATCTCCTCCACTTTCAGCATTCTTATCCACATTCCCCTGGCCAGGTCCTCCAGCATCATCGTCTTGGTCTTGAATGGAAAATCGCCTCAACCTGCGGAACCTTTTGGGATGGTCGTTGAGTAATTCGATCTTCTCTTTGGATAAATCCAAAAGCTCCTCTTCAGCATCATCATACTGAACCAAATGCTTACCCGAAGTCTTGTGAAAAGATGTGACACGACCTTCATACCAAGTCTTGTCCAGTGGCCAGTAAACCCTAATCCTTCGATCAACTAGCTCATGACCATGAATAGGGTTAGGAGTAAGAAGCAGGGGAGGGTTGTTAGTGCGTTTGGTTAGAGGAGGAGACGGGGTGGTAGGTGTAGGTTTAGGTTTAGGTTTAGGTTTAGAGTTAGAAAGAAGAGGGGAAGTAGAGGAGGTTGATGATGGAGATTTGGAGAAGAAAGAAGTGATTTGACGCTGGGGATTGACGAGGGGCGATCGGCCGTTGGATGGGCGACGGAATGCCATAAGGAATACCAACACCGAAGAGATAAGAGTGAGGTTACTTATAACATTCTTGTGTGTTTAAGAAAGGCGGGAATGTTTGGCGGGATCAATCCTGCTCTGCTCGTGGTGGAAGTTTGACATTCCAAATAACATTCACAAATTGCTTACATATCACTTGTATGCATATACCGAATGTGTATATTCCAAATAATATTCATGTATGTTACAAATTGCTTATAAATCATTTGTATATATGTACCGAATATTATCGGTTTCTTTTTTCTTTGTTTATGATATAAATTGATGTTGAATTGTAGATTATTAGAACTTAAAGAACATGATGTCTTGTTTTTGGAGTCCCAATCCCATTAATTAATAATCAACTGATTATGTTTATTACAACAATTGGCAATGGTCATAGGGGATGAAACCAACTCATCCTCAGCATTTATTATGTTTTGGTTGGTTTCATTTTAAACACCAAAGTAGCTTGCATGCAAGTTCAAGCTTGTTTGGTTCAAAATATTATATATTTCAGATCGATTTAAACACAATAGAATAGTGATGAATTATGGAAGCAAGCGAATGATGATTCTAGTATCAACATTTTTTTTTAAATATTCCACCACCATTCATTCACAGTTCACTTTTCACAGTTCACAGTTCACAGTTCACAGTTCACAGTTCACAATTCACAATCCTCAATCCTATTTCTTCCAATCATCTGGTAATGTATTTCATTTACAACCTTGTTCATCTACAATAGCAAACTGGAAGCAAGGATTCCTTGTTGATCTAAATTAGCAAACTGGAAGCAAGGATTCCTTGTTGATCTAAATTAGCAAANTAGCAAACTGGAAGCAAGGATTCCTTGTTGATCTAAATTAGCAAACTGGAAGCAAGGATTCCTTGTTGATCTAAATTAGCAAATTGGAAGCCAGGATTCTTCAGGTGGCGCTCAAGGCTGCAACTGCATCCATTTCTTGCTGCAAAAGAAGCGCATCGATAAAGTAGTCCAAACTCTCTCCCTGCATCACGTCACCGATTGAATGATGAGTGAAACCTATCCTGTGATCTGTAACTCGACCTTGCGGAAAGTTGTATGTCCGTATACGTTCAGATCTATCCCCACTACCAATCTGCTCTGATCTTAGCTTTGATCGACTGTTATGAACTCTACATCTCTCCATCTCATACAGTCTCGCACACAATACTTTTAGTGCTTTAGCCTTGTTCTATCAAACCAAATAATACGAGTAAATATTACTGTAATAACACAAGCACGTATCAATTCCAAGGCTGCATAACATCATTTACCATATGTTGTGACCGTTCATCTTGTATAGCAACTGTCAGCCCAGATGGAATATGGGTGATCCTAACAGCACTATTAGTAGTATTTGCATGCTGCCCACCAGATCCACCAGACCTGTACGTGTCAATTCTCAACTGCTCGTTCCTCAATTCAACGTCTACCTGCAAAACACCACTTTGATCGTATTAACAACTTTCAGTGAATCAATCAAATATTTCATAACCCATATTTTGAGCTATCTAACACAATGAATGACACCTAAAGAGGGAATGCATCAAAGTTAGCAAGTCTCTCACCTCATCTGCCTGGGGAAGGATAGCAACAGACACAGCGCTTGTATGAACCCGTCCAGCCTTCTCCGTGATGGGAACTCGCTGCAAAATTAATATCATCACATGAGCAATCAATTCACTAATCCAAAGGGCTGGGATGGTCGAACCTGCACTCTATGGACTCCACTCTCAAATTTAAGTTTTCCATACACATCTGCTCCAGATATTGCAGCAGTGGCTTCCTGGCAACAAAATACACACATTGGAGGAGCGTTAAAATAAGATTTAACTATCTACTTTTCAATCAAGGATGGATTGGAGCCCCACCTTGTATCCTTTCATATTTGAATCTGTCACATCTACCACCTCAAACTTCCAACCCTTTTTCAGCGAGTATCTCTCATACCTGATTTAGTTTAGACATCAAATAGTCAGAACTCGGAGAAACATTTTGATATCCCTCCACTTGGAATGAAAATTTTAAACTTCACATTTTGAAGATGTCCATAGCGAACAGAGATGCCTCGTCCCCTCCAGTCCCTGGCACATAATTGGAACCACTTATCATGTAAGAAACCGCTTGATTCCACAAGACTTGAGAAGCAAGATTTTGCATTATGATCAGATACTGTAATCATCAATTATTCTGTTACCTGCTCTAACTTCCAAAATGCAGTCCCTTTCATCTGCATCATCCTTAGGCAGTAAAGATTTGAGCAGAAGATTATGCAGACACTGTTCTTCTTTTAACGCCTGCTGTAGTTCCTCACATGCCATGGCCTGCAGGTCTTTATCTTCTTGACAATCGGCCATTAATGATTTCAAACTTTCAATTTCCTACCACACACAGATCAGCAAGAGCTGCATCAGATGCTACACATGATGGAAGAACACCAATAAACTGAATGACATGAAATACCAATCATAGAAGTACATCTTTGGTTTGTAGTGAAACCCCTATTTTTTAGGTAATTGTTCATTTTCTTTGAGAGAAGAAAATAACAAGATAAGTGTTAGATATTGGGGAATGGGGAGATGATATGTGGACTAAATAATCACTTGCATCGCGGAAAGATCGCTTTCCGTTTACGATAACTCGTCCCTTGTTAGCCTTGGGTATCACGAGTTCGTATTGGGATAGTCCAAATGAAAACTCTTACCTTAAAGGTTGTAAGATCGAGTCACATATAGTCATATATACACCCAGATTCTCGTTCACATATTTATATGAGAGATACACAGTTATGAGCAGTTAAACGGACAATTACAACCGACTCTGAGTCAGAAGCAACATCTCAGAAGAAGTCCAGAGGCTCTCACTCGCTTGTTTTAATCGGGGTATTACGAAAACAACCTCTCTACCCCTTTTGGAGTAGATGTAAGGTCTGCATAAATCTTACCTTCCCCAAACCCTACCTCTGTGGGATTTATTAGGTCCCTTTGGCTTGATTTTTTTTTGAAGTATATAATATTTATATACGGCAAATGCAACAAATAAACTCACACACCCTCCTCACCTATGGTGAGGTTTGAACCCTTGACCTCCTAGAAGGCCAAGGGCTACAATACCGCTAGGCCAAAGGCCCTTTGGTCCCTTTGGCTTGATTTTTATACTATATATCTAACAAGTTGACAACACCAATTTTAGAAGACATATCAAAAGCATAAGGAATCACCTTTTGTATGGTCCTCAGCTTGCTTATGAGATCCATTTTAGCATTGAGACTTTGAAGCTCCTTGTTTGCTCGTGAATACTCTGTCGGTGAGGCTTCAGGCTGTCTTTTATCAATATGGTAACAAATAGATGGAAGCATGGAATTAGTATGTAAATTTACATATATGGAAACTAAGAGAAAGCTGTATCTAGCATCAGCTAGGAACTCAACGCCTCTTTCACCTCCATTCTTGAGGGGGTGTTGGAGTCGTAGTATATCCGCTAGACACGGTCCATCAAGCTTGTATATATGTAGGAAGCTCGCCCTCTCTATAAGGGATCTTTGAGAGAGAGAGAGAGAGTCAAAGGGGATCCACATATTATCAAATAACACATTCAAACAGCACCTGATACTTGATAAAAACCTGTACTTTCAAACCATGGGAATGAAACTTTCAACATATATGAGACTTGATTGATGGGTCTTACCTGATTAATGATGCTCTGGAGATAAGCACTTCTGTGCTCAATAGCCGACAGTCTGTGCTCCATAATCTTAATCAATTCCACAGATGATTGAGGTTGCAACTCCGCCACTTTTAAGAGCCCAATTGATGATGAATAAGAGTATCATTATTTAGTAAAATAATCAAATCATGTAGCACATTTTCCCCAATTTATGAAAGCGTATAAAGATTCTTAATTTCTTTCATTGAAGTAATAGGTGAGTTGTCAGGAATGGAAGCCGAAGAGAGAGTAATTATAGTAATAAGGAAGGAGAAATTGAGGGATGAAGTACGAACCAGTGGAGAATGGGGAAAAAGAGAAAGGATAGGTCTTGGAAAATGACGAGTGACGATGATTACTTGCATTTCTGGAGGGATTGAATGACAGACCCAAACTTCTGCACAAAACCCTTACACCAACTCTCATCGTATTCCTTTTTTTTTTCTCTGGTTTGATTTTATTTAGGGTTTAGGTTTAGGACGGAAGAAAAGAAACACCTACGATGGTATTGGCATCCACCAACTCTCGTCGAGGGACATTTTTGTCTTTTCCTTTTTTTCATTTTCAATTAAAAATAAAAAATAAAAACTAATCCACCATCCAAACTCTTGATCGTTTTCACATCTGCTCATCGTCTCCACAAAAAGCCGACCATTGTCTCCGTACTCAAAATCTAAATCCTGGTACGAATTTAACCTTATAGCATTTTTTTTAATTATGATTCCATATCATAATTTAAAAAAACATAATCTATTGATAATTGTTGTTCCTTTCTCCAACTACTAATATGGAATCTCACACTTCATTCGTCCTCCTCATCTTCTCCACCCTTGTATCATTTCTCCGTAACCCACCCGGACCTTTCCCCTCACCTCACATAAACACCCATTGAACAGTTTAAATTAGATTGTATAATATAAACTACAAAGTAAGAAAAATCAAATTGCGTTACAAAAACCGTGCATTGGACTATGTCGTACACATGGCATCAGAGATAAGTGTATGTCTTGAGCCACTGTACCAAGCTTCCATGCTCTTCAAAAAATACCAAAAGGCTTTCCTCTTTCTTTTTCTTTTCAGGAACTCAAGTTGGTCATTTTATTTTTAATGTGTTGATAACAAATAAAATTTGTATATTATGATTTTATTCAGAGTTGTTCCTCCTTGTGCTCTGAGGATAACAAATATATTTGGTTTCTAATGAAATAAACTATATACATATATATATATATATATACACATAAATTAAAATGTATGAATTGGTCTTCAAACATCTATGACTATGAATTAGATTAGAAAAACGATTAATGTTACATGAATGGAATGGAATGGATTACATTATAGGCCAAGATTGGCGTTTACACCGTATTGAGGCAGCCAAGGCATGAATGTGCCGGCCGTAAAACCAATTGCTTCCCTCTCATTTTGGATGACCTTTACGCTCGGCCACTTAACCCTTCCTGCTGTGTTTGAACCTGGTCCTTTGTTGCCATACTCCCTGAACATGCATGTCATGTGATTGTTCTTCCCCTCCGGTGATTCCCATGGCGTCCAACCTTCGGGTCGCACCATATCTCCTATGTCGCATAGCATTATCACCGATGTTGCCGATGCCTTCCATGGACGCCCTAGGTACGTTGCAATTTGTGCCTTTTCTGGTGCCAACTCTGCAGATGCCATGATCTTGCAATTGTGAAGTACCACGCCTCCTGCTTCCTCAAATTTCATCCTTCCATCAGCTGTTACCATGTTGGCTTGATTCTTGTCTGGTTTATTAACAAAGATTTGTGAGTCCTGGATAAATGCCCGTCCCGTCCCAAAGATGAAATCCACGGTTCCTGAGATGGCACAATTCTTGTAGAACTGATCATGGGTGTGGTAATACAACGTGTCCTGGTAACCCTCGAAGCTGCAATCCATCATGACCGTGTGAGGGGACTGAGATCGAAATGCAACTGCTTGGTGTCCTGCTGGTCCGATCGTGTTTCTGAAGCATATACCCTTAGCCATGAATCTTTCTCCAAGAGCAGCCACCGTTGCAGTTTGGGAGGTTCCGATTTTTGCGATAGCAAAGTTTAAGGACCCGGTGATGATGGTTTTGTCACGACCATCGCCATACATATACACATTACTCTGAGTCTTTTCTATGATAATTTGGCCTTCATTGTAGATGCCAGCCTTGATATAGATTATATATCTTCCTTGTTGATTTGGGGGATAAGCAGCGAGAGCTTGTTTGATGCCTTTAAACTTGCCGCTTCCATCTTGAGCCACGACTGCGTTAGGGGTGACGGTTGCCGGAAGAGGAGGAGGCGGTGGAGTTTTGAATATGGCTTGACCTTTTGGTTTCTTAGCTTTACTCTTGGCTCCCAGAAGCTTACGGTCGGTGGTTGGAACCCATGCTGGAAAACCTGAATGCTCGATCTCATGGAGCTCATCAAGAAGCCTACGATGTCCGGTTGAAGGGATCTTGAAGTCACCCAAGTCGATTCCAATATCCTTGAAGATTTCAATGACATTGTAAAAGATCTTTTGTGCGTTAAAAGTCAGCTCGTTGGAGATTGCCAAGCCTCGTTGCATGTCCTCTTTGAGTTTTTCGTCTCGGATCTCATCGATGCATGTTGTTTGGTATGCTCGAACGGCGGTCAACCAAACAAGGATGGGGTCAATTTGCTCGACTAGAGAGGTTGCTTGGGTCTCGGAGACGACCTTAAGAACCTGTTGGAGCTCATCGGTGGCGTATCCTAACATTTTCTCACAACTCTCGAGGTCACGGTGGGAGAGGGAGTCTTGGTCTTTTTCCTTCTTGGCATCGGAGGCCTTTTCAAGGGCCTTTTGCAGTTCATCCGCGGTGGCACGAATGGAAGCAATGATGTAATCCTCGTGGGTAGCGGAGGAGTTCTTGTCGACATCGGCTAGGACTTTGTTGCAAGCATCCTTGTATTCGGTTGGTTTGCAAACACTGTTTTTGGTACTAGTGGAAACGTTTTTATCAGAGTCTCCTCCGCTTTTGACAACAAGGGCCACGACACCGAGGACGGCACCGACCACCAAGACCAGGGATACGAGGGACATGATGATCTTATTAGCCATGGCCTGGTCTGGTTAACGAAGTAAAAAAAGAAAGAAAGGAGGAATGTTAATTAGTTGATTGAGAAATGGATCAGATTGGAGGAAGGGAGTATGTACCGTCAATTAATGGTCATCCCATAATTTTAGATGCATCACTCCTTTTTATTTGTATAAATAAATAAAATAGCCATTAAAAAGAAAGCATCATCTATACATGGTTTGTTGCATTTAAACCTCAACATCTTACTTACTTACTCACTCATATTTTAAATCATCATTAATACCTCTTTGTTAATAAGTCTTATTGTTATTTGCGGTTTTACATACGAAAATAATATTTATTAGAAACTTTTTATGCGGGCTAAAAATTAATGACTTTTATACGGAGTAATAAAATACAACCACAATTTAATTTGTACAAGATTCAACAATCGACTCATTTCATATCTTTAATTTAAGTTCGATCACGTAAATCCGAACCAGTTATAACAATTCTAGATTTATAATTTTTTAATAAAAAATTAAGAAAGAAATTATACTTTGAGAAACTTAACAGGACGGACGAAAACCTGACCAAAACTGTCTAATCTAAATATATGTATATTCCTGATCAAATAGATCTCCGTCTGTTGGTCGTCGTCGTCGGAGCCAAAACCTCTCCTAGGGTTCAGGCGGCACAGAGAAGACAATGGAGAGTCGCTGCAAGTTTTGGATGCCGAAAAAGAAGAGGTTTTGTGCAATTCCCCGGCTCTCCAATTCTGAGTAAGCTAAGCTAAACTAAGCTCACCGTTTCCTAATCAATATCACATTTCTAAATTCTAATCCCACCACCACTTTTAGGTTTTGCGGCAACCACTCTAAGAGGTCCGATGACACATGGGTTCCATGCTCAATAGATCCCTCCCAGTAATCTCCACTCTTTCTCCACCATCTCTCAATAGTCAATAGAAAGGTTACTTTTTTTTTTTTTAATTCATCGTTTTTTCTTCGTGTACCAGCTCTGTGTTGGAATCCAACCTCCAGACTCACCTTAAACGCTGTCCATTGCTCAAACATAAAAACTCGCTCGCCCTCCAACCTTTCTACAAAAAGGGCATCAATGGAGGCCATGACCACCATGAACCAGACGTCACCTCCGAGTCCAAGAGGATGGCTGTGCACTCTATGACTGCACCTCAATTCATCAAATTAATCGCCAAAATAAAGTCTGTTCACGCTTCCATATGCAACCACATTCATGACTCTTTCAACCTCCCGGAAGCTTGTAAGATTTGGATTAACCGCTCGATTGACTGGTAAAATTTAGCTTTTCTTTCTCTTGCTTTCTGTGAATGCCTTCCCTTATCTGGATTAAAATCCAAGTCTTCCAGTTATAAGCAAACTGTATGACCATCAACTTCAAGGTCGAAATAATGAACTCTTCCCATACACTCTTGATAGACTGATAGCAGATACAACATATACTGGGAATCCCTTTGTTTTGTTTTTAATTTATCTAGTTTCAGGAAAATACCATTTCAAGAAAAGCATGCTATCCAGCAGGCATCCATCCTTGGAAACTTGGAAAAACTGGGAGCATTCAAGTCTTCTACTACTGGTTTGTCTGAGGAAGAGCTTTATTGTAACAATTCATCTGCGGATCCTAGTGATTCTCCTGCAGTGGTTGAGTTTGGAGCTGGAAGGGGGTACTTGACACAAATGCTAGCAGACTGTTATGGGGTTTCAAAAGTCTTCTTGATTGAGCGCAAGTCATATAAACTTAAGGTTAGTGGAGTCAGTACTTAAACTGCATGTCTCTTTTTAAATCACCTTCTTTGTTTTGCTTTTTATATGTTGAAATCAGATAACTCATGCTTCAGTTAAATGATAAATCAAGAGCAGTGGGTGATACAGTGAACAGACACAAACTATAATGTGGTTTATAGTGACTAGCTGTCTCCACTCTAACCTTGAGTATCTAACTTTAGGCTGATCGAAGCTTGCGGCAGAAAGAGAGCTTGATGTTAGAGCGGTTGCGAATTGACAGTAAGGATTTGGTCCAAACCTCTGCTGCTTGTAAAGCATATTTTATCTTTCTATATTGTTCCACTGTTTGAATGGAAGAGCATGCATGGTCCTTGTGTGTTTCAGATGTTTTAATTCTGAAAAGAAAACATATGGTTCTCCAAGACTTGTTGTTTATTATGAGGTCTTTATTGGCTTACACTGAAATAGTGATACATGCAGTACCTGACAGAATATAATACAATCCACATGTTAAGTTACGAGTTATTAACACTGTGACTACAGTTTCTGGTATGTTTGTTTCAATATTGAAGTTTTGAAGCGAATTTCTCGTTACTGTTGGTCAAAATGCTACCCTTTTATAAGAGTATATGTTTGTAACATAAATGCAAGATGAGAAAAACTAGTCAGTATCATGTCATTAATGGCCAAAAGAAGAGAAAATTCCATTTGTACTTGGGTTTAAACCCTGCACCATGACTATTTCATAACTACTCACAAAGTTCTTGATCATAAATTGGTGGTATATTTAAAAACCTATAGAGGTCTCCTCCTGGAAATCACAAGAAAGTAATTACTAACAGGTACAAGATCTGGATTTGATGTTTAAGGTGAAATCTTTTTCATCGCATAGTAGAAATATGTATATAACTGTATCGTGGCTATGGTCAATCAACTGCATGAGGCTCTAATGCTGCAGATTGGGAAATTGCATGAGAAGATTTGATAGCTTAAAGACGATGAAACTTTGGTCTATGAATTCCAAAAAGCTATGTGTATCCAAGGAATGAAAGTTTACCATCGTATGTACCTCCAAAACTGAAGTGGTTTTTTCGGTTTGCAGTTGAGGATTTAAATTTAAATGCAATTGGGTCATTGCAAGGACTTCCATTTTTAGCAATTGGAAAACATCTGTGCGGGCCTGCAACTGGTAATATGGTTTTGCTTTGTTTGAGTTGCCTGAATCAAGTGTATTACTGAATAGCTCCACCTGCAATTCATTATTTTGGCAGATATGACCTTAAGATGTTGTGTTGGGGAACATGGGAGAGAAAGCAAAGGTGTAGCGGCCACATCTTACCTGAGAGGAGTTTCTATAGCAACATGTTGCCACCATCTTTGTCAATGGAAGCATTATATCAGTAAATAAGATAATCCTTGCTCTTTTTGAATAATGATAATGTTTGTTGAAATGAAAATCATCCATCCATCCATCTATATGCAGATAGAGGTTTTTTCTCAAGTCTAGGGATGACAAAAGATGAGTTCCATGCAATTACATGGTTTACCAGCTGGGCAGTAGATGCAGATCATGGTTCAGATGATGGTGTTGAAAAGAGTGAATCAGATGAAGCTGTTTTGGGCAATGAAAAGGTTTTAGGTATGTTGTCTGCAAAAGAGAGGGGTGTTTTAGGGTTCATGTGCAAGGATATAATTGATACAGGGAGGTTAATGTGGATGAGGGAAAATGGACTAGAATCTGAGCTTGTCAAATACGTTCCATCTAACATCTCTCCTGAAAACCATTTGCTAATTGGCAAGTGTGATTGATTCATATAATTGTATTCTTAATTCAACCAACTATATGCTATCTGCTATTTGGAATTCATTTATTTGCCTATTGTAAATATTTCATTTTGGGATAATGGTTTTTATTTATTGTATGAAATCTACTAGTGCTTGCTTTTAAATGGTGAAAAATATGAACTAGCAATATTTGGTTATTGCAATAAAACACCATATGTTTTCACTTAATTAATTTATATTTACATAATAGATTTAATTATATTCAACAATTATACATTTTATTTTCTCTATTAACAATATTTGGTTTTGTATCCAATAAAATGAAAATAAAAAATTATACTTGGTAATTTAATCCCAAAATTTTCCAAGAGATCATAAGCACCGTTTGCCTATAATTAAAACATAAGAAAGAGCTGTTCACAGTCGCGGGGATAGCTCAGTTGGGAGAGCGTCAGACTGAAGATCTGAAGGTCACGTGTTCGATCCACGTTCACCGCATAATTATTTGAATCTTTTTAATCATCTCATTTCGATCGAGTTAGCTTGTTTAATGGGCCACCCAGCCCACAGTTGTTGCTTGTTTGATGGGCTGCCAGCCCGCAATTATTCGATTCTCCCTCGATCGAGTAAGTTGTAGTTTGTTTAATGGGCTAGTCAGCCAGCCCCGCCATTGCTCATTTGCTTGTGCTCAAACATTCACCCCTCTCCTTCTCTTTCTGGTTCACAGCAGAAAGCAGCCTCCATGTCCATGGAGAGTGGACAGTACCTCGGAGAAATCTCAGCTCTCTGTTTTCTCCATCTTCCTCCTCCTTCTCTTCCATATCTCTTTGCTGGTTCTCTTCTTAACTTCATCTTTAATCTGTTTATTTATGTGTATTATTGACCCTTACTTTCTATCGTCAACCAGGAACTGGTTCGCACCTTCTTTTCTATGACCTACTTACTGGCAACATGATCACTTCGTTCCAAGTCTTCAATGGTGTTAGGGTGCATGGCATTTCTTGTCTTCCCGTTTCATCCAATTCCACGCTTACTTTCAAACTGGCTGTCTTTGGAGAACGCAGGCTCAAATTATTTCTCTTCACCATTCAATTTCCGCATAATCACAACCTCCATCTACTCTCTTCTCACTCCTTCGCTCACTGGATTTTGGATGTTTGCTTCATAGAGGTGAATATTTGCTCAATTTCTTCATCTTTTCTTCATGTCCACTCATGTATATATCTATATATATATATTTTTTTTTTTGTGGACCGCTAGTAGGATTGTTTGATTGAAGGGAGCCAGTTTCTTGCCATTGGATGCACCAACAACACTGTCTATTTCTGGGACACCTTCACATCTACAATCAGCTATGAGGTCAGCTCTCCAGGTATACACTTTCCCTCTAGCTTTATTTTCTACACTATAGAACGCTGTCAATGATTCTTATTTCTTCTCCTTTTGCTCCTTCACAGACAGATGTCTTTTGTATACGATGCGCATGTGGGGTCACAAAATTGATTCTCTCCTTGTAGCATCTGGTACCATTTTTAACGAGGTAACTGATTTTCTCCCCCAAACTTCCTCTTGTTCTTTATCGATGCAATTGGACATGTGTGCTATTTGATACTCTTTTTTGTGGTTGCTATTGTGCTTTCTAATTCAATATTCGTGGATATTGAATCCTTGATTTTTGTTGTAAATTTGTTCTGGCAGATTATAGTCTGGAAAGTTGTTTGTGGGCATTCTCCTCCTTGTTTAGACAGTCCTTCAAAAGCCAATGACAGGTCATACGAAGCTGTCTTGGTGTGTAGATTGGCTGGGCACGAGGGTTCCATATTCCGTATTACATGGTCCTTGGATGGATCAAAACTGGTGTCGGTCTCTGATGATCGCAGGTCAATCTTCATCCCAACTTTACAAGTCTACCTGTTATCATTGACTATCAAACCCGTGGAGAAACCAAACCCATGTAGAAATCTGTTGCTTTGATTTCTTTTTAGTGCAGTGCTCGTATCTGGGAAGTTCTTAGTGGAAAAAGAGATTCTAATAATGTTGCTGAGGGGACTGTTTCTCCTTCAACGGGGCCTGTGCTATTTGGCCACAGTGCCAGGGTTTGGGATTGCTGTATGTCTGATTCCGTAAGTGTCACACTTCCTACTTGTTGACTCGGTCAAGGGCGTGCTAACATGTACTTAACTTATGAACATTAGTCCATGGAAATGGCAAACACATGCAGCAGAAGTCCTTACATAATGTCTGCACCGCTATGCCCTATTGCTTAAGCGGTAAGGTAAGGAAGTGGGCAATCCATGTGAGATCTCGGGTTTGAGCCCATGCATATTTACATCGCCGATGATGGCCGTGGGACCAGTACAGTGGGGTTGCTCCATGTACCTATTGTAACAAGTCTTTACATAATGACATGGTTTTCAAAAGCGTTTGAGGCGTATGTCTCGAAGCGAGGCGGTGAGAAGCCGCTAATGATGCGGTGCCTCTGCTGGGGTATTTGGGTTATACGCCTCGAACCACTGAGGCGGTGAGGAGGGGCTGAGGTGTTAGGATTAAAATAACCAACTTCCTCCCGCTTTTCTCTCTGCTCTCTCACATTCTCCCTCTAGTGAATCGCGATGTATGCCGTCTCTGGTTCTCCTTTGCTAATCACAATGCTCTGCTCATAAGGCAGTAGGCTCACCTCCATAGACATGTGTGGCTTTTAATTTTTATACAACATGCTTTTTTCAGGGAGGTGTTTTGTTTTTATACAACAATTTTTCCTAATCTGTAGTGTCGCTGTGTCGGTGACTGGTGGGAGTTTGTTCAAGTTGGATGTTTCCTTATTTATGATTGCTCACAAAGTTCAAACTTGAGAATCCATAATCTCTCTTCATGAAAAGTTTCTCTGTTCCAGAATGACAAATAAGTGAAACACCTAAAACTGTTAGTTTTCTACTGTCTATTGCCTTGAAGACCAATTGTTGACTGCTTATTAATTTTCTATTCCAATATTTATGCAATTTCAGTTTTGCATAGTTGAACGCTCATATTGTTTTATACTTTGACAAATATTTATTTCTAACTTCAGAATGGTCGCATGACACATTAAAGTACCTGTCATTATTCTTTGAAATGAAACAGTAATTGATATATTCTTCCTTGTGAAAATGAATATGTTTTGGCTTGACCACCAACTATTTTTTACATGGGGGAATGTTCGTCTCAGTTAATCATCACTGTGGGCGAGGACTGTACATGCCGTGTGTGGGGACTAGATGGAACTCAACTTAGAATGATCAAGGAGCACATGTAAGTTAAAAACAGTTTACAATATTTTTCTTCCAGTAACATGTTAAGAAGTACCTTTAATCCTGAAGTCATTTGTTCAGAAGAATCTTGATATATCAAATTTACAAATGCCGTCCTATGGTTCTTATGAAGGCACCACGCTTAAGATAGAACAATAGCTAAAGAGCTTCTGCATCTTTATTGTACAGAGGGAGGGGAGTATGGCGATGCTTGTATGACTCACGCTCTTCCCTTCTTGTTACTGCTGGATTTGATTCTGCCATAAAAGTGCATCAGCTGCATTCTTCTTTGTCCATGGGTTTGGAGAGACGCAATGGGGTGGAAGAGTATGACGGAAAACAAATATTTACCATTGGAATTCCCAATTCAAAGCAGACTCCACTACTGGACAGGTATATAAAGTGTCAAGAATAGTATAATGCATATTCTGCATTTGAGCTTTAAACCTTATAACAGTAAGAAAGGGTGGACAGGTGACTATCTCATCTTGCTTGACTCATGCCTTGTATCTTTTGTTATTTGTCATGGTTGGATCATGGCTCTTAAATAGTGTGTGATTTGGGTAATAAGATTGTTTATTCAACAAATTCATGAGGAGGCAACACATTTAGGCATTGTTTGGCAAATATAAGCTAGCTTATTTTTTGCGTACACGTTTGGATGCACACAAGCTGACTTATAAGTTGGCACACAAGCTGGCTTAATGAAACGCTACTTGGAGTAGCTTTTTGGTAGCTTATTGTCACTTTTTCCAATTATAACTCTCATTAATATTAATTATTATTTATTACTATTAACTACAAATAAATATTAATAAAATTTAAATATTAATTAATATTAATTATACATTATTCATTAATATTATTTATTAATTATTTACAATACTTATTAATTATATCAATTATTTTTATATTATTATTAAATATATTTAGTTATCAAAACGCAAATATACCAATTTTAATAATGTTTATGTAACATAAACTTTAAAATTATACTTATTTTGTTTCATAGATAATAAAAATATGTTAAATAATTTGAACAAAATCTTTAATTTAATCATTAAATATATTTTTTTGAAAAAAATATTAATTAATTAGGATACGTGAGGTAGACCCTTTTTATTTTTATTCATATTATATGTAATGATTATTTAAAATCATAAATAATAGATTTTTTCTAAAATTTGTTTTAACAAATTCAAATATTATAATATATTCAATAATCAATTTGAAATTCTTATAATCAATATATTACATTTTATATTTTTTCTACCATCTTGTTTGTATTAGTTAATATATTATATTATTCAAGATTTTGTTTCATTATATTTTGAAATATTATAATTAATTAATTTTCCAAGATGCCTTTTTGGTCATTTACATTCTTATCAGCTAGTTTTGCTAAACATGATTTGTTTCTCAGCTAGCTAATTAGCCACCAGCTAGCTTATCAGTTGGTTTGCCAAACATAGCCTAAGATAAGGTGGGGCGTAGGGACGATTATTTCTTTGTCTATATTTATTTCAAGTGCAAGTAATTAGGATATTAGTTTTCCTTAGAAAAAGCAACTCAATAATGGCCATGTATAGTATCACATAGCCTATTAGAGCATCCTTTCTTCCACCTATTTTCCTAAAATTTCATTGCAGTAAGGAACTAGGAAATGGAAACATAGAAGAAAAAGAAAGAAAAGGAGAAAGAAATCATTTCCATGAATGAAATCTTTGACGAAAATGTCATAGTCGGTTATGTTAAAGCCGTTGCTTGTTCCATTTTTACTTAACTTTCAATGATAAAGTTTTCTTAACCACACTAACACTACAAACTCTCGCCCAATGCAAACATTTTGAATAGGTATGGTAACCGTCGAATATATGTTACTATAGTTGTGAATTTTGTTGGCCATTTGTGGTTAATCTAAAATGTCTATACGTATGAAAATTTGGCCAAAGCATTTGCACTTCCTACATGCTATGTTACTGATTTAAGATGCTTGTTTGATACATCTTATGCATGCATATTATCTTTTTAGTATACCTTTTACCTTCACATTTGGATTCTATTGTTTCACCTGCAGCAAAAGCGAGTACGTACGTTGTATGCATTTTGCAAGTGAAGAAGCGCTTTATGTTGCCACAAACAATGGCTTTTTGTACCTTGCTGAAATATCTGATACTGGTGATGTAGTATGGACGCAGCTTTTCCAAAGTAGCGAGGAGATCCCAATAGTTTGTATGAGTGCATTTGCAGGTAACACTCCTGAAAATTCTTCTAGTGTGGAGAATTGGATTGCTCTAGGAGATGGTAAGGGAAGATTAACTGTAGTGGGAGTTGTTGATATTCGGATGCCAAAGGTCAATCTGTCCTTCACTTGGCCAGCCGAAGCTGAGAGACAGCTTTTAGGAACGTACTGGTGCAAGTCTTTGGGTCACAGGTAGCCTTAAAGTTATACTGCCATCTCTCTCATCTTTTAGTTGTTTCAATGCTAGAATACCTAGCATGCATGAAAGGGAAATGGATTTTGAAATGAATCATGACACAAATGTTTCTTATGAGCATATAATTATTTTGTCTTTAGTGGTCCTTATAGGAAGTGAAAAGTATTTTGGGAGGTATCTTGTCTCTAGCGATCTTCACAGGAACTGAAGTGTTGACTTGCAGTAAAGAGATTGCTAATTTTACTGTCAGCCGCTTCACTCAGATATTTCTGCTGTTGCTATTATATAGGTATATCTTCACATCTGATCCTAGAGGAAGGTTGAAGCTGTGGAATATATGCAACACTTTGCATTCCATTTCTGAATATGAAGGACATACCAATGCATCTTTAGTAGCAGAATTCGCATCATGCTTTCCAATAAGGATAGTATGCTTGGATGCATCATTTCAGGAAGAGGTATTTAATTTTCTTTTTTGTTCTTGAGTAAGCGGTCTTCTATGTTCAATGATTTGGTGCTGCTTATCAGATACATAATTTGGATACTATGCTGGTGTTATGGTGCCTTTCCTAGAACCTCAGTTAATTCATATGATATATTAGTTTCCTCGCAAGTAGTAGAGCATCCCTTCAACATATTGAGAGTCAGGACAATCCTCTTTGTTATCAGCTTGTACACTTCTTTGTTTTGTTATTCTACTAAAATTTTGAAGGGTTGGTAACAGTTATAAGGTTTCACTCAAATGCCTAATAATTTGTCTTCTTATCCTAATTTTTTATATACAGTCCCGATGTGGGTATTTCTGTAAAGCTTGTAGAATTCAATGCCATGATACACACACACATACGTACATACATACATACGTACATACATACATACATACATACATACATACATACATACATACATACATACATACATACATACATACATACATACATACATA